GCTTTAAAGCCTTTCAATATAACTTGTTCAATGATATTGGTGGTGGGGGTGATGTTTGAAGATTGGATCCCTTGTCCTAAGGTGATGGTGTGGTTGTGATATTCAGTGGATGTAAGATCCTTGCAGAGGGATAGAGAACCTTGTGTATGTGCTCCTCGCTGAGTATTATTGTCCAAGGGTGTATATCCAGAAGCAATGAGCAGCATTGAGTAAAATATTGTGATGTTAACTTAGTAACGTCGGGGCGGGTGGTGTATAAATACATGAATCAGCGTTGGCTGTGGAGTGGGGATGAAGCATCTCAGCTGCATTGACCTTGGGGACTGTACAGTCGTACAGTACAATGATGCCTTATTTGGCATACTTCTGCTAGAGTAAAATAAATCGCTCGGCGCACATCCAGCAAGTGGTTTGGTGCTCGGGCTTTCTGTCCAGGGGCCTCGTGATTAAATGAGTCTCACGTTGCAGTACAAGGCTATAAGGTAAGCCAAGCATGTGAAGATTAAAATAAAAACAGAAGTTGTTGGGAACACTCAGCAGATCAGGCAACATCTATGGAGAGAGGAAAGTGTGTATATTAAGGTTCTTTGTAAGGTTATTGGTGAGCGGCTAGTGATGAGACCACCTTCTGGGGCTGGTGGTCACATCGACAGGATGTCAGTACTGACCCAGACAAAAACCACGAGGCCAAATCAAGCTCGACAATCAGTGACTATGAAAGCACGGGCTATTTATGCTGTGTGAGGTATATTATTGCAGACTATGTGTTCTGTTCCAATGTTACCATTATATTAAATTCTCTCCCCAATTTTTCCTGCCTTCCCTCCCTCCTCCTCAGGCGTTTGACTCAATTTCCATCCACTGTGGTATGGTTTTACAGGTGCCCAGCAGTTCTTATCAATTTTGCTCGCGTGGCTCACATGGTCAGAAGGTTTGTAGGTTCAAGCCCCATGGCTGGACTTAAGCTCATGGTGCAGGCTATCTCTCCGGTGCAGTGCTGGGGAGGGCTGTTTTATTAGAAGTGCTATCCTTTGGATCAGAGGGTGAACTGAGGCCTCATCTGTCTGTTCAGATGGACGCTAAAGATCCATTGATATCATTTGAAGAGAGAAGGGATTATCTCTTGGTGTTCAGATCATTGGTCATTCACTTCATGGCTATTCATGGGACTTTGCTGTGTGCAAATTGGCTGCTGTGTTTATCTACATCTACTACTAGTACTGCTACTACTACTAATAATAATAATCTTTGCATTTCATTTAGTGCCTCATCACATCTAATACACAGTCACTGCACTTAACCTTGAAGCACTTCTACCAGTGCTAGCCTGTAAGACTCTTGTCTTAAAATCTGCAGTACTGTGGAAAATTCTCAAATCTCATGACAAATACGCAGTCACGACCTGGACCAATAGAAGTGCGGACGTAATTTCTCCACAGAATCAGCTACAGATGCCCCCCTCCACTACTCTGCTACTTCTCCCCCACCTCCCCCCACCAGCCCCCACTCCCCATCGCAAAAACAAACCCTCCGCTTCAAGCAAACCCTCTGCTACAAACCTGTACTTATGTCAGCATTGCTTGTGCCTGTTCTCTTTTCATGAAATGCACTTTGCAGGAACTAAACGAATAGCAGTTGGCTGCGTAGAACATAATGGTTTCATATCCTGCCATTTCAAACTCGAACTATCTACTTTTTACAGAGGATTTCCCAACTCTTTGCTTCTCTGCATAATGTTTCGTAACCATCGTGAGTTGGAGGCCTGTGGTGTGTGTGTGTGTGTGTGTGTGCGTATGTGTGAATCGGTCATTCCTGGTGCCTTGCTATCATAGTCACTTGTGTAATCTCAATGACGGTGAAATGATGGTTTAAAATCTCTTCATTACAGCAAGAGCCTGGGTCACCCTGTAGATGCTGAAAGGTCAGGTGCAAAGCTTTGACATTAAGTCTGATTGACGGTGTTTCAGAAAACCTGAGCACCAGAAGCTTTCGAGTTGCTCTGCTTCCTGTGCTTTGACCCACGTTGCAGTTTGTCTGCAGTGAGTGATTCATTGTTTGTCATTCATTTCTTCTACATTTGACATCAGTTACAACCCTGATGCTTGGAGAGATCCTGCTATTGCGACACGCACAGGGATAAACGACACCTCGTGCCCATTATCTTTAACCGTTGCTGTTGCTTCAAAGGAACCCTCTAGGTCCCAGTCCCCTCACATAATGTGAGACAGCAGGGATTGTATGATAAAGCCTTGTTACAGAACCCAGTAAGGTATGACAGTAAGGAGGCCATTTGGCCGATTTTTCCATGTTGGTATTTGATCTTCCAAGAAGGAAGCCATTCATCCTAACCCCAACTCCCTGCTCCTTACCCGTACCCTCTCATATCCTTCCTCTCCATGTGTTTGTCCATTTATTTTTTTTAAAATGCCCCAACTTGACTTTGCTCTAACAGCTACCCTAGGCAAATCATTCCACACCCTGACAACCCTCTGGGAGACAAAGTTCTCCTTTTATTTCCCCTTAGACACAATATTGATTTCACACCCTCTTGTCCTTGAATCCACAACCAGCTGAAAGATTCTTTCATGATGAATTCTCTCCAATCCTTTCATTATCTTAAATGTCTCAAACATATCTCTGATCACAGTGGTCTGTGGGTGTCTGTCTTATTGCAGCTCTGAGCTACACTCCCTGGGCTGTGAGATAGATCCTGGTGAGTGCAGGTTAGTTAATGACGATGGTGCAGTTTGCAACGATGAATTAAACAGATCATCAGCACAATCTTTTAGGGTGTTGGATAAAGTGTGTTCATTTTTCCTGTAGCATTTGGATGCCTTTAGCCTTTTGACGATCAGTAATACGGTCAATCAGTGGGAGTCAGTAACCTGATGCAATGAAGGAATAAGTGCCAACTACTGTATTACAAGTTTTCTCAGTCAAACTGATTAGCAATTCGCAGGTTGACTGTTTGACAGAAGAACGTCTTAATGTGACTCGCAGTTTGGAGAGTGAGGAAGACCAAGGATTGGGATTACTATATTAAACAAAAATAATAATAATTTGGTTACTCAATCCACGACTTTTTGTGGGAGACTTCTGTGCGTAATTGGTTGTTGCGTTTCGCCCACAAAATGTACAGTCGATTCCTTTTACAGTATTTTCTGTGAAGTGCTTTGAAACGTCTCAACAGCATAAGGCGCTCTATCAAATGCAAGGATTATTATGGTTATTATTATTATACCTCCAGGGGAAAGGCAGGCACCAGACTAGGTTTGAGGGGCCAAAGAGCTTCCTCCTGCATTGGAATTGAGGAGAATCATGTAAAAAGGGAGAGAGCCAGGAGCAGAGATTAGAGTAGACAGCTCCAGTTACGTAGGGGGCACTGGCTCCAGTCAAGGAGTCAAGTTCCACTCTGCACGTGGCATGGATCTGCTTGTTAAGGATCCATTGGGTGACCCCAGTGGCTCTGATGATTAAGTCTGAATGCCTGGTAGCTAAAGGCACCACCCATGCAATACTAAGCCATGTAGACCTGAAATTGGCAGGTTTGAACTTATGCCATACCTCTCGTTCCTCTCCTCGTTTATTTTTNCCCCTTCCCACTTCCAAGTTCCAACCAATCCTCGTCCGAAATAATTGGAAATAAAGTCAAACCGAAATGAGAAGTTTGACGAGTTGCAAAAGCTAACGATTTCCTGGAAGAGTTGACTTGAGATTGTTTTCATAATTGACTTTGTTTCTGAAATGAAAGCTCAGGATGTCGGAGGCGCTGGCACCTCACTCGGGTCTGACCTCTTCCTGTGGAACTCCAGGCAGGTGTTTGGAAAGTGCAGACTGTTGTATTTTTTTTCTCTTCATGTGGTGGGTTTAGTCGACGTGATTCATTCACAAAGGCGCAGGGATTCCGTGAACACTCGTGCCCTCGGAGAAGGAAGCTGTTTAGTCAAAGTTGTGTCAATCAATGAGTGGAGACACCTGAGAAAACCCCAAACGCCTCCAACATCTTGTTTCCAAACCTATTGCGGTGTTTTTAGAACAATGTTCTGAAGTGGCTTGTTTTCTTCAAATAGCTGCATAACTATGAATGTCTTATTCAAAGGGAAATACCAGAAGCTTCACGTTGGGTGTGTGGGGTTTATCCTCCAATTTGTCTTGTCTCTCCTTCAGGGTGGTTTTAGCCCCGTAGACGCTCCATGCGATCCTTGATTCCAGAGTCCATAACGGTGTTGCCAGCCCGGGCAAGCAAAATTAGTGGCATGGCCAATGGCTGGAGGGCATCCAGCGTGGGGTGACGAGGTGTCCATCATAATAATAATCCTTGCATTTGATATAGCGCTTTTCACGTCGGGAGGACATCCCAAAGCGCTTCACAGAACACACTGTAAAGTGAATTGACTGTATATTTGTGGGCGAACGCGGCAGCCAATTGCGCACAGCAATGTCCCACAAACAGTCGTAGATTGAAAATGACCGATTTATTATTGTTTTTGGTTTTTGGAGGGATTATTATTAGGCTCTGTGTGGAGTAAGGAAACTTGCCCGAGGTTTCGCACTCTGCCTGGAATTGAACTCGGGTCTCTCGCTTGCAAAGCGAGTGCTCTAACCACTGAGCTACAGGACTCATGCCAAGTCTCCCCCTCACCCCACCCACTACGCGCCCCCTCGGTTAAGTTGGTGGGAAGTTATTTCAACAGGTTTTGCATGTCGCCGCCAATGCTCTCCTTGCTACGGGTGCTGATTACCTTGGTCCTAACTGGACAAGCAGCGAGAAGCTTGCCAGACGGTGCTCTCAATGGCAAGCTACACAGTTTTAGCTGGTTAGGCTCCAGCAGTTAAACCCAATGCACATTCTAGGGTCCCCAAGTCTTGGCTGTGCCTAATACCCTTTGGAATTCGGTATGCAGGGTGTGTCCCTCCAGGCCTGTGTTTTGCCTGTAAAGCTGGTGATTGTATACCCTTATTGCTGGAAGCTGTGTTAACATTCTGTTCTGTGTCTCCAGGTGAAGCAAGGAATCTACCTCCATGTCATGGCCCCAACAAGCTGCGGGATTGTTTCTGTGCAATGAAACTGGACCAAGAGGAATTATTCCGTACACAAGTAGTGGAGAAGTGCTTAAGGTAAGTAACTGTCCTTGGTGAGGCCTGCTCTGGTAAATTAAGCCACTCTGGCCTTCATGTACAGCTTTATAGATGATAATAATACTACTACAATACAGTTTGCATTTATGTCCTACCACTCAGGAGTTCTCAAAGCACTTCAAAGTGCTGCAGGGTTACCCATTGAGCATTTATTATTTTCTTATTTACATTTGACGCGGTGACTTTAATGTAAAAACATCTCAAAGTGCTTCACAGAGTTTTTCTTTAGAGTGTAGTGACTGTGTATTTGTAGGGAGCCAATTTGCGCATAGCAATGTCCCACAGATTGACCTGAAGGGAATGGCTGATTTAATCTGAGACACCAGGAGAAACTCCCTGTTTTGCAGATAGTGTTGTAGCGTAGTGGTTCGCACGATCGCCTCGCAAGCAAGACGACCCGGGTTCGATTCCCGGGCGGGGGGAAACCTTAGGCTGGTTTCCTTACTCCACACTCCTCTGTTTACTCAGCAGTAAGTAGGAGCACGATTGTTCATCAATTGGCAAATCGCTTTCCACGGATAATAATCCCTCAAAAAGAAAACAAAATGCGGTCACTCAACCCATAACTGTTTCTGTGACACTGCTGTGCACAATTGGCTTCTGCGTTTCGTCCACAAAATACAGTCAATCCACTTTACAACGTATTCTGTGAAACACTTTGGGAAGTCTCAACGATGTGATAAGGCGCTATATGAAATGCAAGGATTATTATTATAACCCCGAGGGGGCTGACGGATAGCAGAGGTGGGTAGGATCCTTGTGGACTGTGTATGCTGAGTGGCAGCAAGCAGTCTAAGATTGGTCTTATTTTACACGTTGAATGATCAGCGATGATGACACCCATCTGAGTAAATGCCTGTGCTCACTTTATGATACCATCAGCCAGAAATTCAAATGTTTCTGGTGGATTTAAACTTGAGCACAATATTCCACAAAGGAACAGAGGAGAAAGATCGATTGATTCAAGTGGCATGGTGTCTTCCTTCAGAAGATACAACAGTTCTAAAAGATGAGGTGGCCTGAAAACTATTGCAAAGTTGCTTAGCCGTTAATACTAATAATCTTTGCATTTGATATAGCGCCTTATCACTACATTGAGGCAGTCTCAAAGCGCTTCATAGAATATGGTGTTAAGTGAATTGATTGTTTTTTTTTGTGGGTGAAAACAGCAGCCAATTGTGCACATCAATATATATAATATATATATATCATAGTGGTCTGAATTCACCAGGACATGGATTGGGGAAGATGGGGTAAGCTGTGTGAGATTGGAGTGTGCTGAATTAGGCCACAATTGTGTCTGGTCGTGTCCAAACCAGGACTGTGGTAACCATGATGCAGGAAGAGATAATGAGTGATGTGTAACATAGACTGCACTTCACCACACTGACTCACTGAGAAGAAATCTTACCAAGTGATCTGAGACTGGGTGAATCACAAATGAACCATGAAGGGCAAGATGTTGGTGTATTTAGAATTTGTCGGGTTTAGCACAGGTGACGGTTGTGTAATTTTGAGAAGGAGAAAGCTAAGTGAGACTTTAGAGGAAGTGGTGGGGGGAAGAGGTGAGTGGGGTCTCCTTTCAGCTCAGCTGGCTCCAATGTGATATGCTTGGCAACAGAACATCAGAATCAAGTCAACCCTCTGTGATAGTCTCTAGACCAGTTCCTGAGTCAGGCCGGGCTGCAGTTCTTTAGGGCAACACTGATGATAGACCAGTCTGCATGGCTCGTCAGTAGGACTTGGAAAGGCAGACCAGTCACTGGAGGCAGGAATTCATCCCACTCAGCTCTTGTTACCTGCAAGCCAAAACCCTAATGGGTAGGGTCGGCCTAGCTGTACAAGTAGTGGAAAAGTTTGCCAGAAGCGATATCAATGGCAAGCTATGTGGTTTTAGCTGGTTAGACTCTAACAGTAACCCAACGCACTCTTGCCAACCTGCGCCTAATACTTTCTGGAATTATGTAAGCAGGGTGGGTCCCTCCGGCAGAGAGTGTGCAATCCATTCCAAATATTGAAATTTCCATATGAAGGCGGGATTCATGTTTGGATTGGATACTCTTAAGCACATTGATGGGTTTCCGTATGCTGTGCAGCCTCTGGTAGAAACATTAATGTGTGTAAATTGGTTGCTGCGTCTGCCTAAAAAACACAGTCACTACACTTTACAGGAATTCCGTTTCGGCTTTATATCAAATAACGTAAGGATCCATTGATTGCCTTCTGGCTGACTGTTGAGTGCGTGTCTACAGATAGATGGAATAGATGTCATTTCTATACCGGCAATTCTGACCCCAGCAGCGAAATGACATTTCTGTGCCTCAGATGCAAATCCCAAATCATCAAATGCAAATAACACACCGGGCCTCTGAAATTGCCACTGCGTAAAAGATCAGGATATGTCTGTCTGTGTATAAAGGGTGTCAACCTCCGTTTGATACTGAGAATCCAACTCGTGTCCATACATTCAATCTTGATTTGAAGAGGTTCTATTTTAGTGAAGCACCACACCCAGAGTCACACATCCTGTTCATACCTTGTCTCAGAGCACATCCGATCTACCTCTTAATCTGTTTTGCATAACTTTTCCAGGGGCGAGCGCCATGTGATTTGCCGGGTTAGTAAAAAATGTAAAATGTAAAAAATGTAATCTTCTTGTTGTTGTTAGTAACCTGCTTCGCTCCTTGAGGTTATAATAATCAACCTTACATCTGATACAGCGCCTTTCACTGACACTCCAATACAGCACTGGGAGTGTGTTGTGTTGTTGGAAGTGCCTCCCTTCGGATGAGACTTCAAACCGAGGTCCCATCTGCGTGTCCAGGTAGTGACTAGTTTGTGGAGCTGGACACTGCCCCAACTCTATATCCACCATTGGTGGCCAAGCCCTCAGCCATTAGGTCCCCACCCTCTGTAACAAGGACTCTTGGTCTTGCCCCCTCTCTTATTTGCCTTCAAAAGACCCTAAAAACAGTGCCTCCAGTCACCTCGCCTATATCCCAGCTCAGCTTCACACTTCACTATTATTCAGCACTCAGAAGCGCTTCCCCGAAGTGCTACGTAAACATAAATTGTTGGCGCTTTCTGGGGCTCTTTGAATGATGATATGGGGAAGAGAAGCTCACACGTTGTGCAGAAAGCAACAAATCAACTGTGACCAGACCACAGGCTGTGTCACTGTGATGTAATGCGAGCGTTTGCGTGCATAACTGTGGGAACACATTGAGTTCAAAGTCTGAAGGAAGTGACATGCTTGACTGATTATTCGAGGGTGGGGGATGGGTGAATCCTTGCCCCTCAACAGTTTGCAAAGTGTCCTTTTAATGAATCATTTCAAGTGGCTGCGTGAGGTGCTACCTAAATGCAAATTGTTGTTGTAATAATCCTTATATTTGATACAGTGCCTTTCGCGTCTGGAGGACTACTCAAAAAGCTTCACAGGATTTACTGTAAAGTGTAGTGACTGTGTATTCTGTAGGCGAATGCTTGACTTTAATACCATAGGATACACTGGCTTTAGTGATGTAGAGTAATGCAGAATACGACGACGACAATTTGCCTTTTATATGAGGACAAACAGCTTTATAAGGCGAGCCGGGAAGGCGATAGGGCAAGATGTCAAAGAGGTGGCTTTCAAAATAATAATAATCCTTTCATTTCATATAACTCCTGATCTCATCTTTGAGACGTTTCAAAGCACCTCACAGAATATACAGTAAAGGAGATTGACTGTGTATCTGGGTTTTGAAAGCAGTGAGGGAGGGTGTGCGGAGGAGGGAGTGAAGATTAAATTCTGTTCGAGTTTAAAGTGCGGCCAGTTTTACACCAGTGAAGGGAAGGATGTTTCCCAATCGCATTAGGTGTATGATTGTTAGCTATAGGTGTGCCTTGCTACACTGCAATAACTGCCCAGACTTGGTATCAGCTACAGCACTCAGTGTCTGGACTCTTGGCTTTAAGACCAGAGTTCAAAGCATGGTCTCAACACACAGCCCTTTCTGGTCAAAGAGAAAAGACAAGGAAGTTTCTCTCGGTTTCCAGGCGAACAATCCCCCAGATAATAATAAAAAAAATTGACACACATTCCATGGCTGTTTGTGGGACATTGCTGTGTGCAAATAATAAGAAGAAACCTTGCATTTGATAAAGCGGCTTGTCATGTCTTTGAGACGTCTCAAAGCGCTTCACAGATTATACTGTAAAGGGGATTGGCTGTGTATTTTGTGGGCGAAACGCAGCAACCAACTGCCACAGCTGTGTCGCGGTTTAAATGACTGCATTGTTTTTAAGAAATTATTACCCACAGAAAGCGGTCTGCAAATCGACTAATAGCCGGGTTCCTACTTACTTACTGCTACAGAGGCACGTAGAGTTAAGGATACTTAACTGAAGTTTCGCTCTGCCCGGGAATCAAACCTGGGATCTCTCGCTTTCGAGGCTAGTGCGCTAACAACTACGCAACAAGACTCCACGAGTCGCCTCCTGCAAAATACAGAGTCACACTTTACAGAATATCCTATGAGGCGCTTTGCGATGTCCTCCAGAAGTGAAAGGCGCAATATTAACTGAAAGTGTTATTATTGTTTATGATAAATTGGTGTGATTTCACCGGTTGGTGGCTAAGCCACACAACCTCAATTAACCTTTTCTCCAAACTCCCTTCTCTTTGCAGCCCCTTTTATGGCGAAGATTTTTATTTTGAAATTCCAAGATGTTTCCAGTACCTCTCCTTCTATATTTATGATAAGAGTTTTTTTCAAAAGGATATCCCTTTCGGTAAGTTTTTTTTTCCCCTGCATAACTGGTACAATTTAGTGTGAACCGTATGTATTTTATAATGCGTGTCGATTATATCATATACAGTGAAACCCCTTTACAAAGCCCTTTATAACATGGATTCACTTTCCAAAATGTTAGCTCCAGACCTGTCTTAAGTTTCTGTCTAATCTTAAATTTTACATTAACGGTCTTAAGGCTCATGACTGAGGAATTTCAGTGTCTCTTGTCCCTCCAGACCTGGCCCTGCCAGTCTCATTATATCACAGACCGCAAGCTACAATATAATGAGCTCAGTTTGCTATCCCATTCCCCCAGGGTACAATCATTCTCTGATTGCTTCAGACATGCTAAGTTAGATCAGAAATGAGCCCTCTTTCAGAGCCTGTGTGTGTCTGGCTTTCCTTGATGTGTTTCCGCCACAGATGCTCTGAACTCGTCTTAGCTATTAGATCGGAGCCACCTATATGAAACAAGGCTTGTCCTTGATATGGGATAAAATCAGATCCAGATCAATTGGGGCGTTCCAAAGGTTGATTGGTAGCTAGATTCTTGGGAATCTAATCTTGGGAAGCTAAGAATTCATAGATTAGAGCCATAGACATTTACAGCACAGAAGAAGGCCTGTCAGCCCATTGTATCTGTGTCAGTATTTTGAAAGAGCATCTCTTTCCGTCCCATAGCATGCTTTGGGGAACTGCTGGAGATTAACGTGCTATAATCACAATTACATAACCTCCTGATAATTCAATGCTGTCTTAATTTGGCACTACCGCTTAAATCATGTTGTCAATATCCCAGCCGGATTTATTTATTATTGATACGTATGTCTAACTTACTACTCCAGATACACATCACTTTTTGCTTGTGTGTGGATTATTTTCTATGCAGTGGAACCTCTTTCTAAAGCACTTCATTATAACATGGATTTGCTTTCCAAAATGTGAGCTCCAGCTCTGTCTAAATTTCTGCATCATCTTTAATTTTACATTAATGGTTTTAAAGCGTAAGACTGAGGAAGTTTAGTCCCTTCAGCCCCAGCCCGGTGAGTTATGAGGAGTTTACTGTGGTTTGCATTCAGAGCACTGGGCTCTAGGGCAGCCCTCGTCGGGGCAGGGAGCAGGTTGTGCGATCTCCATGGCAGAGGGAAGGAAGTAGCTGGTATAAATGGGTTTCCCAGCAGATGTCCTCTCAGTTGTCTCACCGCCTGTATCTTCGCTGCTGTAGGTAAAGTCTCCATTAGGAAGGAGGATCTGTGTCAATACAACTGTAAAGACAACTGGCTGGCACTGCACCCTGTGGATGCCAACTCCGAGGTTCAGGTAAACGTTTCTCCTATTCTCTTCCTCTGCGCTCACTAGACAAAGTCTGGGATTTATAAACCGAGCAAACTTTTACTACATTCCTACAGAGGTCTCCAGGCCCAATCTTCCACTCCTGGGCCCACAGCTCCTCGAGCACGTCTGTGCCACGCAGGACAGATGCTGAGGAAGGGAGAAAGGGGAGGAAGGGGCAACTAAAGAAGTAGGTCTTAAGGGGGATTTAAAGATAGATGAAGAGGTGCTGAGGCAGAGGGATTAAAGCAGGGAATAACATGAATCAGTGGATTAGAGCCTCAGGGATTTACCACATAGAAGAAAGCCATTCACCCCATTGAGAGATTCGCATCTTTAGGCACAGGCCGACATGGGCCCACGCACAGACAGAAACAATCCACACACACAGGCTGACACTTGCACACACACAACAGCAATTTGCATCTACACACAGATGGATATGTGCATGCACACATGCGTATCCTAATGAGCGTGAGCACTGGCTTCACACACACACACACACACACACCACACACACAGACAGACATGCACACGAGAGTCATGGTTTATCATATCTCATGACCCACATCACTGAGCTTCACAGCAAACTGCAGCTCAAGTGTGACTGAGTGCAGATTATCATCAGGAAGTTAGCTGCTGCTGGGGGAGCATCGCTGTGTTTGTGTATCATCCTCACTAGCTTTGTTTGGCTGGGATGACTTCTGATAGCAGCTCCCCCGCAGCTCCCCCTGGTCACGGCGTTTCCCATGTTTGACCTTGTTTGCTGGGCTCAGCAGCACTTGTGAGTGTGAGCGCTCAGGCTGTTTGTGTGTATTGTGTGGGGGGGAGGAACACACATGGACCACCCCAAACAGACAGCTGTGGATCTTTTACCCCATTCCTCCGGCACAGCTGGTTCTAGAGACTAGACAACCTTATCTCTGGGTACCGCTGATAATGGAGCAGTCATTACTAGGCGGTGATCACCCAGCAGTGATACCAAGCGTTAGCTGCCGTCGGTAATTCAACCCCCTCCCCCCACCTCCCTGAGTGACTGACCCCGAGATGTCCTTCCCATCATCACTGCTGCCTGTACCGTTGCCATGATAACCACAGCTCCTGGTTCACTTGAGTGTGGAATGACGCTGCAGCACATTATGGCTACTGTAAAGGAAGCGTCAGTGACTCTACTGTAGCCCTTGGCTCTGTACCATCCATGTCGCTGTGTCAAGCTCACAGTCTATGCTGCAGGAGCACTGCATTGTCAGAGATGCCTTCCTTCAGATGAGACGTTAAACTGAGATTCTATCTGCCTGTTCAGATGAATGTTAAAGATGCTATGGCACCACTCGAAAAAAGAAAGGAGTTTCTCTCTCCCCGTGTCCTGGCCAACAATCCCCCAGATAAAACTGCTCATTTAATTCACAGCTGCTTAGGTGGGGAGAGGCTGGCATGTTGCAAATTGCCTGCTGCGTGCGCCTACAAATTACACAGTCACTCCAGTTTACAGTGAATCCTGTGTAGCGCTTTGAGACCCATCCTACTTGGGGCCCTGTATCAAGTGCAAGGATTATTTTTTCAAAACACTGCGGTGGGTAAAGACCACTGAGGTATGTGATGCTGCAGCCGCTAACATATTACATCCTGAGCCTCTTTTACTTTGTGTCCACATCCTGTTCAGTCTCATTTCTTCGTGACCTTTTGCATTATACTGTGTGAGTTTGGTCAAGGGTTGTGTGTGCGTGTGCTCCTTTCAGGCAAGAGGACCCAAGTTCGATTCCCGGTGGGTGAAACCTTAGGCAAATTTCCTTACTCCACACGCCTCTGTTCACCTAGCACTAAGTATGAACCCGGTTGTTAGTCTATTGGCGGATTTCTTTCCAGGGGCAATAATCCCTCCAAAAGAAAAAAAAAATTGGTCACTCAATCCATGGCTGTTTGTGGGACAGTGCTGTGCGCAATTGGCTGCCGCGTTTTGATTTACAACAAGACAACAAGATTACATTTGTATAGCACCTTTCAGGTCGGGAGGACATCCCAAGACGTCCCAAGATTTAACGTCTTAACGAGAAAGGTGGCATCTCCAACAGTGCAGTGCTGACCCAGCACTGCACTGGAAGTGTCACCCTGGTCCGTGAGTTCAAAGTCCCAAAGTGGGACTTGAACCTGCAAAGTCTTAACTGAGAAGCGAGAGTGTTACACCTGAGCCAGGCTGTTGCCAACAAGTGAAGCATTGTGTTATCTGGCTCCCTGCTCTGCACTGCTGTAATTAACTTCCTCCGCTTTGTTGCAAACAGGGCAAAGTTCACCTGGAATTAAAACTCAATGAACTGATAACAGATCAGGGAACCACATGCCAGCAGGTAATGGTGCGGTAAGTACAGAGCCCTAACCTGACCATTCCTAAGTTGTCACTTCCCTTGTGTTGTAAAGAGCAGGAAGGGAGCAGTGATGCAATGGGTCGTCCCATTGAGCTGCTCCTTTCAGTCCTTTTTGTGTAGCAACAGTTAACCTTCTGCAAGAAAAATAGGAACTGTCTTCCTGACGTACGATTTCAAACTGTGGGTACATCCTTCCTTCGGATGAGACCTTAAACCCATCTGCCAGTTCAGGTGGCTGTTACAGATCTATTCCGAATGACGGCAACTCCAGCAATGCAAGGACTGGACTGGAGCATCAGTCTTGACTGTAAGTTCAAAGTCTCGCATTGGGCACTTGAAGCCACCACCTTCTGACTCTGAGGCAAGACTGCCAGCAACTGAGCAGGGCTAACTCACAGCATTGATCATCATTGGTGTCAGAGAGTAGTGGTGCAGTGGTGTATGGAAGTGTAAAGCACTATCTATCGTGTGGTTTTGACTAACACAGGTTCCTTGGTATTTATTTTTAACAACAGTGTGATTTATGTATGTGAAACGGTCAGACTGTTGTAAACTCCTGATGACTCGTGACTCCGGGGGGCAAAGGGCTCAGGGACGAGTTAGGCATATGTATAAATAACAACAACTTGCATTTATATAGTGCCCCTCACGCAGGGTAGCATCCCAGAGCGCTATAAACAAATGGAGCCAGAACATTGACAGCACGATAACTTAAATGGTCATGACAATTCTGTATTGAATTCCTCTGTGTTATTTTCCCCCTTTTCCCTTGGACTGAAGACATGAGTCCCTTTATTTCCTGTCCACTTGTCTCGGTAACTTTCTGGCCTGGAAGTGTCAGCCTGGGTCGATCGCCCCCACGCTCTCTCCATCTGCCCAATTCCCTCGTGGCAGTTTATTAGGGGCTGTTCTCAGCCTTTAGCTCCTGTAAAGCCACTTCCTGTGACACTCAGATGCTGCAGAGCGCAACCCAATAGCCGACCGACTTCAGCTGCTGAATAGGAAGGAAATGGTTGGGCTGTGTTCTCTGTGTGCTGTTGGGCCGTCCTCCCAATGAGAAAGCCGCTGTGTAAATGTGTATCGTGCTCGTGCTCTCTGTCCTACTTGTAACGAGAGGTGTTAAGCAGAGCATTACGCATGCTGTTGCTGTGGTTATGGTGCACTCAAAAAAAACAGCTGTTCTCTCCCAAGTGCTGCCCCCCTGCTTAGACCCATCCATCCAACCCCACCCCCCCTCACACTCACACATCCATTCCCCCACACATAGATACATATCCATCAACTCACTCATACACACACGCATGCATACATTACCCTCATACACATACCGGGCAAGGTGTTCCTAGCTGGACAAGCATCGGGAAAGCTTTCCGCATAGTGCTATCAATGGCAAGTTGTGTGGTTTCAGCTGGTTAGACTCCAAAAGTTATCCCACCCCACATTCTGGGGTCCCCAAGCCTTGGCTCTCGCCAACCTGCGCCTAATGCTTACCAGAATTGGGTAAGCAGGATGCATCCCTCCAGGGAGAGAGTGCACATTCCAATAAATATCTCTGGAATTTCCATGTGTTGGTGGGATGTGTGGAACTTTGTTTGGTTTGGATACTCTTAAGCATGGTGGTGGGTTTCGGCAGACAAAAAAAATACTCTTGAACCAATTAATGCCGCTGGCTTTGTTGGAAACCTATTTTATAACAAGAATCCTTGCGTTTGACACAGCGCCTTGTCAACTCCTGTCAAGATTTGACTGTGTATTTGTAGGCAAACGTGGCGACAATTTTGCACATAGCAAAGCCCCACACACTGCCATGAAATCAACGACCCATTTATTTAGAGATTGTTGGCCAGAACTTATTTCAGGTTCCTATGGGAACTGGAGCTCATAGCCCAAGCTGATGCTGTAAGTTTGTATGAACCACGCCAGATAAATTACTCATTCACCGCATGGCTGTTTGTGGGAACCTTGCTTGATACAAAATGCGTTTGCCTAACTCCAAAAAGTCAGTAATTACACTAAACTAGAGCGCTGCGAGATGTTTCAAAGTGATAAGGTGCTATATATATATATAAAAATGTTCATTCATTCATTTATGCTGTCAAAGCATTTGAGTCATCACCATAAGTTGCCACAACGGTTTGCAAACTGCAATTGATACTATGACTGGGAAGTGTGTTTTTTTTAAATCGTTGGCACTTTGCAATGTCTCCGTCAAGCATTAGCTTCAAAAAGTGGGTTGTGGTGCCCGGCTGTTGTCTGGAGTGAGGTTATCCTTTGCAATGAAGTTGCATTGAAATGAAAATCGACTCGCTACTTGTATATCGTGAGACTCTCTTTCTGGTTGCTTAACAGTGGAGATAAGCGACTTCCTGTCAGAGAAGGGTTAGCAACATCAGCACGGTTTATTGTAACAGAAATTGAGCCTCACAACCACTGAGACATTCGGACGTTACCAATGGAACCAGTCTGCATTATTCAGGGATTCATCAGTGTGACAAGCATCGATTGCTGTGAATGCAAGATAACAAAACGTTTTTTTAAGCCAATGATCAATGAGCTTTGTTGTTTTGGGCATATTTTATGTATGTATGGCTCGGAGTCAGGCTCCGCCGCTGTTAAGCGCTCTGAGACGCTACCCTGCGTGGAGGGCACTATATAAGTGCAAGTTGTTGTATGGATACTACCTTAGCCAGTTCTGTCCCATTTGTAAAGCCTCCTAATTTTGCTTGCTGTGAGCAGTGCCTTGTATGCATCTGCATTTGAACTTCAGTGATCAGCCCAGCAGCACAGGTACCACGAGCAGGAAGCGGGTCAGTCATTGGGGAAGTGTACAGGCTAGCACAGGTCCACAGTACCTAGTAATCATAATAATCTTTACATTTGATATAGCGCCTTTCACATCAGGAGGATATCTCAAAGGCCTCCACATGATATTCTCTAAAGCGCAGGCGAATGCAGCCAATTTGCACACAGCAACGTCACACAAGCAGCCATGAGGTGAATGAATAGATTTGGGGGATTGTTGGTCAGGACACCGGGAGAAACTTGCCTTTTCCAATAGTGCCATTGGATTATTAACATCCGCCTGGACAGATAAACTGGGCCTCATTTAAGAGCCCTGTAGCTCAGGCGTTAGAGCACTCGCCTTGTAAGTGAGAGACCTGGGCTCGATTCCCGGCAGGGAGAAATCTTGAGCAAGTTTCCTTACTCCACACGACCGATAATAATCTCTCAAGAAAAAAAACAATAGTAATTTGGTCACTCAATCCACGACTGTTTGTGGAACACTGCTGTGCACAATTGGCTGCCGCGTTTCGCCCACAAAATATACAGTCAATTCACTTTACAGTGTATTCTGTGAAGTGCTTTGAGACGCTTTGATACACTGTAAGATGACTGATGCAAAACTGGGTCATGTTATAATGGGGTGGTCCTGCAATAGTGCAGTCATGTTTTTAAAGGAAGCTAATTATCTGTTGAGACAGTGCCACAACTTGTGCCCTGTCTCAGAGCGCTTAGCAGTGGCAGAGCCTGACACCGAGCGGGGGGAAGGGTGGAGGTGTCCATAGGCACGGTCGAAGAGGAAGGTCTTCAGGTTTGATCTGAAAAAGGGGAAGGAGAGGGCAAGCGGAGGGTTGAGGGAGAGAGTTCCAGCGTAATGGCTGGAAGCACAGTCCCTGATGGTGGAGCGGAGAGGATGAGGGACATACAGGAGGCTAGAGCCAGACGAGCGGAGGGAACGAGTAGTGGAGTGGGGAATAAGCACGTCAGAGAGGTAGGGAGGTGTCAGGGCATGAAGGGATTTGTAGAGTGAGATTCTTGGAAGTTGATCCGTTCTGTGATGGGGAGCCAGTGGAGCCTGGCGAGGACTGGTGTGATGGGTGGGGGTGATGGGGGTGTGAAATTTAGAGCAGGGGAGTGTACGGGCGGTGGAATTTTGGAGCAGTTGGATTATGTGGATAGTGGAGCTGGGGAGACCGGCGAGGAGGGAATTGGAATAGTCAAAGTGGGAGGGACGAAGGCAAAAGGAGTAAATGTGGTCCGATATTGGCACACAATAGTCTGAGGACATCCTTGGGGAGGAGAAGGGAGAGCCAGCGAGATGGAGGCCGTTCACAAATCCAAGGCCACTTGTAATTTTTTGTTTTTGTTCGTTCCAATGCTAGAGACTTCCTTTTGGCCTCACCTCGATGAGGAAGTCAAAACCGTGAAAGGATGTTTGCAAAATTCATTGACAAAAAAGTCACCCGAGCCGGTTACCACAGAGTGCGCGCAGTGATGAGCATCCGTCTGCTCTGGGTGTCATTCTGGTCAGCATTTCCTTTCAAAAAACCGCAGCGCTGTCAAAGGCGCCAGCTCTGACTTGCTTTTATGAAGTGTCCGTGTCAGTACCTCATCCTGCCCCCTCCCCTCTCCCCTCTTCCCCCCTCACCACATCAATATGCCCTGCCAGAGACTCAGATGCAGACCAAGGCATTTGACTGGCAATTTAACATGCGATTGGTTTGCTGAGAAACGTCGGTCTCAGTCTCCAGAGCTCTACAACTTTTTTGCTTACTGTTTTGCTTATCCTGCCTTTTTATACTGATTGAGAAATCGAATGAAGGATCAAGGGTCATGGTTCAGGGACTCTATCTAAAGTCTTGCAAAAATAGTAAAGAGGAGATAAATGAGGAAGTACAGATGACAGGGCAGCACGCCTGTGTATTAACAACCTGCCGATTTGCAGGAGAAATGTAAAAGGGAGGGAGTGGGGGGGTGGTGGGGAAAGCCAGGATAATGGGGCCAAATGAATTGCTCTTCCAGAGAGCCAGCAGGTGAACAATAGGCCAGATGGTCTCTGCTGTGATGTAGGTTTCTCTGGTTCCAGACGTTTAAAATCATGACGTCTGGAAACCACAAAAAAAATGACTTGAGATCTAATGGCCCCCACCGTCTCTTACACCAACTCTCTCCAATCTCCTGCTCATTCTAAGTGTTGCCAGGGGGGCCGCTGTTAGATCAGCTCCTGGCTGTCGGGGAATCTGTCTCGACCGAGACTCTGCTTACCTGGGCCAGGGTTGAAACTGGTCTCCTCTCCACTCGTCAATATTGGAGACTGCTCAACTCTTGTTAGCTCTCCCCTCACCCCTCTCCCCGTCCACAAAGATAGTCACGTCTGTCATCGTTCATCACAGCTAAAGACTGGGGAAACATAGGGTTTGCGTATGTCAGCCCTGTGTGAAACAAATAAGTTGTATTCTTTTGACAGTCCCTCGTCACCTCTTGTGACTTTTACGTCAGCCATTTTGCTCACCCCAAGCACCCGCAAATCACTACCGGGAGATGAATTATAAATTTATTTGGAGGAATATTGGCCAAGAGAAACTTTCTTGTTCCGGTGAATTGTGTCTTTTTTGGGGGGTCAGTTGGATGCAGACACATGCAGAAATCCATCACTGTATTTAAACATATCCAAACCAAACTGAGAATTCCATGCGTCCCACCTACACATGGAAATCCCAGAGATAGATTGTTGGAATGGAATCCTCCCTAGAGGGATGCATCCTGCTTACCTAATTCCGGAAAGTATTCGGCACAGGTTGGCAAGAGCCAAGGCTTGGGGACCCCAGAGTGTGCGTTGAGGTAACTGCTGGAGTCTAACCAGCTAAAATTGATAGCTTGGCATTGATAGCACTGTCTGGCAAGCTTTCCCGCTGCTTGTCCAGATAGGAACACTCTACCCTTTAGGGCTTTGGCTCGCAGGGTTAACAGCACCTGAGTAGGAAAATTGTGTCACAGGATTGTTAACATACAGGCAGTCAGGACCTTGTTTTTATCATTTCGTCCAACAGCACAGGGCAAAGTGTACCCCCACCACCCCCCACTCCATTACTGTGCCAGTCAAGACCATGAGCTCCCACTTGGGCCTTAATCCACAATCTTTTGACTTAGAGGTGAGAGTGCATCCGACTGAGTGAAGCTGACACTCGTTTACTTTGTTTTTTTTTGTTAACATGATCCGTTTCCCATTAGTTGCTGTTGCATTACTCATTTCCCGTGTTAACACGGTTTCACTCTCAACTTTTCTGATACCACGTGCAGCTTAACCTCATGACAAAGCAAAAGTACAACACATCACACCATGAATGGCCATCGCTTGAGGTGGATCAGCGACAAGCCACTTTGCGCAATGTTGCTGCGTGGAAATTTGCTGCCACGTTCGCCCAAATAAACACAAGTTCACACCGGTATCTCCTGTGAAGCACTTTGAGACGTCTCGATGACGTGATGAGGCGCTGTATCAAATCACAAGAATTGTTGTTATAAAGATTATTATTGTGCTTGACGTGCGGTTTGGGTGAAATCTCTCAATCGTGAAAGACGCTGAAAAAAACAAAGCAAACTACCTCAAATAACCTCTTGGCTGCAGCTTTCAGAAAGCTCCCTTTATGAGCTGGTTTCTGTACAGCAGCAATATCACAACTGCACCTGCAGTCTTAGACGTCCACGGCATTGCTGACACTTTGCTGATGGCAACTGGTTAAGAAATCTATGTTTAGAACCTTCAGAAATGCGTATGTGACACGGCAGCAACTGAGACCCTTGCAGGCTCAAAGGGTTGACTGGTCTCAGTTTGGACTCAAACATCCTGTGCATCTATATGAATAATACAATAAACCTTTGAAATGTCTGAGAGGGTTTCACAGAGTTTCCTGTAAAGTGCAGTAGCTGCGTGTTTTGTGGATGAGCCTTCTTCTTTCAATTTCAGAATAATCGAGTGCCAGGGGCTGCCTCTCGACAATGGGCAGAACTGTGATCCTTATGCCACTGTCTCTCTGGTCGGGCCAAATAGGTACAGTATTTGCTCCTCTTGACAGCATGTTTCTCTTCTGAATTCTTAAGTTTTTTTTTAAGAAGTTTTTTTTTTAAGTCTGTGTCCCGGTGATGTTTCACGCTACCTCACTCAAGTGTCCGTTTTTACAGTCTGAGCCTAGACATCGTGATTTAGTGGGCAGTTTGACGGAGGAGATCACAAGACCAGAAAAAAGCATCGCTGTTCATCAGGCCTGGCCCAACGTTTTTTTTTAAAAATAAGACACGAGTTTATCTCTCATGTCCTCGAATCCATTTCATCACCAAATTGTAATAATCCCTGCATCTGATATACTCCCTTCTCAGATCGAAAAGTTTCTTAAGTACTTCATAGATTTTTTTATGAAGGGTGGTGACTGTGTATTTGAAGGTAAACCGAACACCTGATTTGTGCATAGCAATGTCCCACAAACAGCCATGAAGTGTATGACCAATTTGCTGGAAGAATTCGCCGGCCCGAACACCCAGATAAACTCCTTTCTATATTCAAATAGTGCCAAGGGGTCTTTAACCTGTATTCCTCGATTTCATTGCACCTCCGACAATTCAGCACTCCCCCGTTACTGCACTGGAATGTCAGTCTGGGCTGTGAGCTCAAATTTCCCAACATGAGATTTGTACCCAGAACCTTCTGACTCAGAGGTGAGAGTGCTGTCAACTGAGCCAGGCTGTCTCATAGTTCTCTAATTCCCTCGTAAATGTGCTGATGCAATCTGCCTCTTTGAGTAAATCCATTTCACATCATCACTGCTCTGTGTGTAGTGTAACCTGAACTGTTTGTTCACCAGCTTATTTGTCCCAGTGAACTCTTGCCCTGAAGTTACCAGAGTAACTTGTTGCTGAGGGCTGAGTTCCAGGTTTCTCCTCAAGGTTCCTGGTCTATTAATGTTTTGCTTGTCCTTGTCGCTTCAGGTTTGATCAAAAAAGGACCAAAGTGAAGAAGAAAACGAGTGACCCACAATTTGATGAAACCTTCTATTTTGAGGTAACAATCTTTTCCTAAGGCGTTTTGGAGTGAATTTCTGTCGTAGATACGTAGGGGTTCCAAAGACTCCTTGTGAAAGAAGACCAGGAGAGACTGGGAAAAGTACCCATGTAGAAATGGGGATTATTAATTTGATAACTGTAGTCCATATCACGCTCCAGTTAACTGTAGAGCGGGACTTAGCACGTCCTTCAGCATTGGGTGCTCACTGCAAGTAGCTCAGAGTTGTATTGTCTCTCCTCCACTAATAATAATATAATAATCCTTGCATTTGATGTAGAGCCTTATCATGTTATTGAGACGTCTCAAAGCACATCACAGAATATATTGTAAAGTGGATTAACTGTGTATTTTCTTGGGCGAAACTGGGCAGCCAATTGCTAACTCCTGAACTTCCTCTGAAACATTGCAGGTTACACGAACCAACAGTTACACCAAGAAATCCCATTTTCAATTGGACGAAGATAGCATCGAAAAGCTGGAAATCCGGTGAGTGATTTTAGTCTCAATCCCAACTCAGACTCAAATCATTTATTCAGAGATAGAAGCTGATAGAGTCTTTCTATTGGAACCTATTGATTGATACTGCATCGAGGTTTGGGATAAACTATCAGATGTCAGCCTGGCTTGGTTAGTAGCACTTTCATCTCCCAGCCAGGAAGTTGTCGGTTCAAACCCCATATCAGGATTTTGAACTCAGTCTAGGCTGACACTCCAATGCAGTGCCAAGGTGTACTGCATTGTTGAAGGTGTGGTCTTTTAGATGAGATGTTAAACTGAGGTCCCTTTTGTGCCTGTTCAGGCGGATGTTAAAGATCCTGCGTCACTATGCAAAATAAGAAGGAAGTTTCTCCTGGTGTCTGGCCAACAACCGTTCAAATAAAATTATTTATCCGCTTCAGTCATGCTGGTATTGTGGGACATTGTTCTGGGCAAATTAGCTGCCGTGTTTCTTACAAAATCCGCAATCACTCTACTTCTTAGTAAATTCTGTGGAGTGTTTTTCAGCATCCTCCCGATGTGAAAGGCGCTATATAAAATGCAAGAATAATTATTCTGTTTTTAAATCGGTTATTTTACATTGGGGTATAAAATGATGTCCAACACTAATGTTCCCACGGGGAAATGGATTCTAATGTAAACCGACTAAACCCATGATTGGTTGGTTATTGTGTCATCTAAGAAAGTAGCCAGATTCTGAGTACTAAAGAATCGCTTACTTTCTCCTCTCTTGCTTCTTCTTCCTCCCTCCCCATTAACTCCCCATCCTCTTCTGAAGGCATTTAACTCTTGTCTTTGGAGGCTGGTTCTCTGGATGCTGGACACCCTCCAATTCCCTTTCTGAAATCCGATTTCAAATTTTATATAACTCTATAAAGTCTCCTCTGAGCCGTCACTTTTGAAGACCAAGGTGCCTAGTCTGTCTCATCATTGTTCATAATTCGTGCTTCAAACACTGGGGATCATCCTCGTTGCTCTCCTCTGCACTGGCTCTAGGGCTTCGGCACCCCTTTTATGTCGTGGGATCCAGAACTGTATGCAATAGTCTAGGCGCGGCCTTACCGGAGCTTAGACACTATACAGTTTGAGTATGACTTCTGGAAATCTGATTTGGCAATCTAGCCCAATATAGTCATCAGTGTTTCTCTTCTCTCTGACTCCTCTCTGCTCTACTCTGCTGCCGAATGGGTCTGATGCCAGTGAGGTAAGATGCTGCACAGTATGATTTACGCATGTGCCCGTCACTGGAGCTCGTTTCTTTTATACCCTTTTGGTGCTTTGGCTTTGCATGCAATAACGGGGCTCAGTTTATGTTATCAGTTAGTTGATCTCAGCTACAGGACCAATGATTGTCCTCAGAAAACAAAACCATAGTTGTTACTGCTTGACTGATTTTTCTCTCACTCTCTTCCCCTGACTCCCCCCCCCCCCCCAACCCCACTCTCTCTCTGAAGTCAATTGTAAACTCTCAACACCACTCGTGGATGAGATCAGCTAAAACAATACCTCAGCAATGTTGCACCAGTACAGTGCCTTTCATGTTGGGAGGTCATCCCAAAGTGTTACACAGAGCCAACTGCAGGAACCTGGGGGAGCTGGGGGTGGGGAGAACTGAAAGCAGGGGAGAGGGGGGGGGGAGGTGGTCAAAACACACAGTCGAAAATGAAGGTCTTAAGTTGAGTTTTAAAGGTAGGGAGAGAGAGAGAGGACAAGGCGGAAAGACTTCAGGACGGAGTTCCAGAGAGCAGAAGCAGAATGGCTGAAAGTTTGCCTGCTGATGGTGGGGTGGGTTGGTCAGGAGACAAATTAGCTTGGGGTTTGAGCCTAAGACCTTCCTCATTCATCGGGCTCAGCCATTGCTTGCTGAGTGACTTGGGAGTATCCTGTGTTTTAAACTCCCAGAAACACAGACTTATACTCTCTCAGTGCGACGCTTCCCATTAATACACAATCTTAATCCAGAGTCCATGGCGTGGGGACAGCATAACGAGACAGGCCTTTTAATCTTATTCTGTGATTGGTGATGGGATTGTCTGTTTGTGGGACATTGCTGTGTATCTACATTTGCCTGCAAACGCACAGGCTGTGCACCTAACATTAATCACTGTAAAGTGCTTTGAGGCATTTCAATGTTATGGATGCTGTATTAAATACCAGCACGAATACTGTTAACATACTGAATTGTTCATTGGAAGTTATGGAGTTCAGTGGACAGTCTTGAGAACTTTCCTACAGTTACAAAGAACGTACAGCATGGAAACAGGGCATTTGGCCCAACCAGTCCGTGCTAGTGGTTATGTTCCAGATGAGTCTCAATCCATTCCTTACTCCCACTCATACCCTTCTCTTCCTTTCAACAAACCCGTAGGCATAAGCCCAGCAACCACATCCGCCAGGGTTCCACTGCACGGGACAAAGCATCGTCCAATGGCTGGGTGGAGGGATGGGGCCCATTAAGGGATCTTATTTCCTCTAACAGTCTGGATGAACTAAATGCTATTTAAAGGAGTCTGGTTCTCTAGCTTGCAATTCTCCCCATGCTCGAAGATTAACTGTCCTTTATTTCCTTAGAGTTGATCTGTGGAACAGTGAAAATCTAGTACAGGATGTCTTTCTTGGTGAGATCAATGTGCCTGTGAAGAAGATCTTAAGGGACAACAACTACTATCAGGCATGGTAAGACCAGAATCCTATAATGTGTGTGTTTTACATGAGGTTATTTTCGTGTCCCTTTTGGTTACATCCCAGCTAGCTCAATCAGGGCAAAACACTCGGCGTTCCTTCCCCCCATCCCCCCTGGAGGAAACGGGTCTCGTGAACCCAGGAAGGTCCACAGTAATCCAAAGGAGTCCTGTAGCTCAGTGGTTAGAGCACTCGCCTGGCAAGCAGAGACCTGGGTTTGATTCCCTGCAGGGCGAAACCTTGGGCAAGTTTCCTTACTCCATACGCCTGATGATAATCCCTCATGAAAAAAAAACATTAATAAATTGGTCACTTCAATCTATGACTATTTGTGGGACACTGCTGTGCGCAATTGGCTGCCGCGTTTCACCCACAAAATATACATTCAATTCACTTTACAGTATATTTTGTGAAGTGCTTTGAGACGTCTAGAAGACGTGAAAAGTGCTATATCAAATGCAAGGATTATTAATACATTGTTAGTGGTTAACCAGCCTGTTTGGCTCATCAGTGGGACTTGGGAGATATAGACATGTCCTCAACAGGTAAGCCAGCCTTAGCTGGACATGAAGTCCACCAGTAATATATATAGAGAGAGAGAGAGCGATATGTATGTGTGTGTGTTAGATAAAATAAATATATTTTGATGCTACATAATTGTAGATAACATCAGATTCAAATACAATAAAATAAGTTGTATTTTAATAAAAGTGCACGTATCACATTCTTATCTATCGCCCACGAGCTTCCCCCTTGGTTTCGTGCAGGTTTGCTGTAGAGTACAAAGGGCACAGAGAGAGAGACTGTAAACTGACACTTGCTTTGCATGAAGTGCCTGTCGACTTACGTTCTCTTAGAAGAACCTGAGCTATCTAGGTCAGGATGACTTTGGATTACCTTTCCCTTCGGCTTCATGTTTCCACAGCAATAGTTTTCATACAATAGCACAAGTCCCCCTGTGCACTGTTAAAGGGCACGGTTATCGGATAAGAACATAAGGCAGATCATTGCTGACAATTCATCTTTGACTGACTGACTGTGCATAGCATGGAATGGGTGTGGCACCCACAGTCTTTCAGCGTGGGCTACACGTAATCAAACATTAACCAAATCTTTAAATAGCCAGCCCTGTGTGTCCTGTTAACTCATATCCAACAATCCACCTATCCTTGTTTTGATAAGTCCCTGAGCATTTTGGTGTTCCCTTCTCCTGTGCCTCTCCTCCTGTGCCCCCAGGTACCTCTGGCCCATATGATTGCCTTCATGCCACCCTGATGCCTTTGCACCCATACCCTCCTCCTCGCTTTAGGTAGCCAGACCCCATGCCTGTAGCCCATCAGCCCAATGCGCTCAGTCTCCCCGCGTTTGTTTCACACTAGTTTGTTGTGTCTTTTGTAATGATTCTCAGTCCACAACTTTGGTGTTGTAAGTGATTCCTTTATTCTCATCTCATAGCAATACAACACTCCTCCCATCATCCGCCTCTGGTTCCCTTCCTGAGATCCTTTCATACTTCCTGCTTCTATTTCATTGTCTCTTTCTTAATTGACATTTCACTTCTTAAAGCAATATCTTGCATCTTTTATTCTGTGATTAGAAGAGTTTAACGCAATATGCTTATTATGATCAAACAGGTACTTGTTACAGCCAAAGGACAATGGAAACAAACCTGCAAAATCTGATGACCTGGGTTCATTACGGCTCACTCTATTCTACATTGAAGACCATGTCCTTCCTTCTAAATACTACAGTGCACTAACTGACCTGCTGCTGAAATCACCAGATGTCAAGGTACCTGTCTCCTCTCTCGCTGTCCCCCGTTTCTGTCTCGCTGTCTCTCCTCTGTCTCGCTGCCTCTCCTCTATATCTGACTTGCTGTCTCTCCTCTGTCTCTGTCTCGCTGACTCTCCTCTGTCTCTAACTCGCCGTCTCTCCTATCTATGTCTCGCTGTCTCTCCTATGTCTACGACTCACCGTTTCGCTCTTATCTCTTATTTGAAGCCTGTGTCGGCCTCGGCAGCCCATATACTGGGAGACATATGTCGTGAGAAACAAGAAGCTGTGTTGCCACTCGTCCGCCTGCTCTTAGATAACAAGAAGCTGGTGCCTTTTCTCAGCGCCATCGCCGAGTTAGACCTCCAGGAAACTCAGTAAGTCTGGCTGTTACAATGCTACCCAATTGCGTCTCCAGGCTGGAGTACCCTGGTCTCTGTATCTGGTACCCTGAGATGCTGGGGTGTCAGCCTCGACTGTGAGCTCAAAGTCGTAACACAGTTTGTCAACCCTCAAACCTCTTGACTAGTTTACCAACTGAGCCAGGCTGACTGGTTGGTTCTCTAGGTTGGTCCCGCTGATTCACTGACAGTATTGTCTATTGTTCTGAGGGGTACACGTGGTTAGTGAGATGTGTGTGTGTAGGGGGTACACGTGGTTAGTGAGATGTGTGTCTGTAGGGGGTACTCGTGGTTAATGAGGTGCATGTGTGTGTAGAACACACGTGGTTAGTGAGGTGCATAGGGGGTACATGTGGTTAGTGAACTGTGTTTGTATGTGTGTGTGGTGGTGGGGAGGGGATACACGTGGACTGCCTACATGACTTGTGTGTTGGTATTTAGGGAAGCTAACACTATATTCCGGGGTAACTCGCTGGCCACTCGATGCATCGACGAAACAATGAAACTTGTGGGAAAGCATTACCTGAAAGTCACTCTGAAACCCATCATAGATGAGGTAAGAGACACCTCTCTTTCTGTTGATGTGTCTTTTTTTCTCTCTTTTTGTGTGTTATGTGTTTCTCTCTGTCAATAATGTTAAGGTGTCGGACTGGGTTCAATTGGTTGCACTTTTGGTTCAATTGGTTCAAGTACCGTGAACTGCTTTGAGATATTTCAGCGATATGAATGCATTATGACAGATACAAGAATCCATGTCATGACTGGCACTGCATACCATCACCTCCGTAACATTGCCAGACTCCGCCACTGCCTCACCCCTCAGGCTACCGAAACCCTCACCCAAGCATTCGTCACCTCAAGGCTTGATTACGGGAACTCTCTCCTCATCGGCCTTCCCAACTCTTCCCTTCATAAGCTGCAGATCATCCAAAACTCTGCAGCTCGTGTACTCTCATGCACCAGGCTCCGTGACCCCATCACTCCCACCCTTGCCCGATTCCACTGACTCCCCATCCCCCAGAGGATCGGGTTCAAGATCCTATCCTCTTCCTCACCTTTAAGGCCTTCCATGGCCTTGCTCCCTCCTCTGACCTGCTGACTCCCTACCAACCTGCCCGCTCCCTCCGTTCATCAGACTCCGGCCTGCTCCATGTCTCCCGCCCGACCCGCCCTACCATTGGTGGCTGGGCTTTCAGCCTCTCTTCTCCCACACTCTGGAACTCCGACCCATGGTCCCTTCGCCTCGCTTTTTCCCTTGTCTCCTTCAAGGCCGGTCTCAAGACCCTTCTCTTCGACCGTGCCTTTGGTCTCCCTCCCACCTCTCTGCCTTCTCTCACCCCTACACCACCCCTCCCCCATGCTCGAGCCCCGACACCTGACTGTTCAGGGCTTTGTGACATCCTCCCGACGTGAAAGGCGCTCTATAAATGTCATTTTGTTGTTGTTATTATCTCTCTTGTCTGTGTCTCTTCCTCTCTGTCTCTGTTTCTTTGTATGTTTCTATCTTTCTTTGTATGTCAGCCTTGCTCAGTTGGTAGCACCCCTGCTTCAAAGTGAGCCCAGCTGTGTACAGGCCCGAAAGATAATTAGACATTCTCTTTGTTTAGATTTGTGATTCTTGCAAACCTTGTGAAATCGACCCCATTAAACTAAAGGAAGGGGACAATGTAGAAGTGAATAAGGTACGTGTTTGCAGCCAGATTTTAGGCAGACTTTTTATCAGTGTCAAATCCTGATGCGTGTGGAGTGGATAGTCTTATCATTTTCTGTTTCATCTGCCCTCTAGTCTATCCTTCCACAATCTCCTGCCTTCTAGTACAGCTTTTCCATATCTTCCTCTCTTCCATTGATACCCTAGATATGGTGCCAATGAGCTACACTCTAGTTCTGAGTGAATCTGGGTGAGTGTTGGGAGGCTGTTTCTCCACGGTGGGACTTCAACGCCACCATTCACTGGCAGGTGGACTTTCTAATAAGTCACTGGGTTGTGATTGGCGTGGTGTCCTGGCTGTGAGGCCAATGATAGCTGCACTGAACACACCATCCTGACATCAGAGACGCAAGCTCATTAAAGACTCTGGGATTGAGTTGGTGCTCTGGTCTATGAGGCTTAGTTCCACGTTGAGCAAATGACCTCCACAAGTGAGCCACTGGGGGAGCACTAGAGGACGATTTGAGGTTTTTCATAAGCTCCAGTTAAACAACAACTTGCATTGATATAGCTCAATTCACACGGGGCAGAGAGTTCCAAAGCTTTGGGTGTATTGACTGAAAGCGCGGCTGCCGAAGGTTCAGTAACAATGCCCAGCGGATTAAAGCACTGATGTAGCACGTGCTCAGATCTGCAATATTAGGGTGTCTTGATGTGGAACAGAGAGGAATGGAAGGGTGAGGCTTTCTGTTCCGCCTGGCAGGAGAATCTTCACCAGTACGTGGACCGAGTGTTCAGCGTGATTGTAAAGTCCAGCATGAGCTGCCCCACCCTGATGTCTGAGGTGTTCAATTCCCTGCAAAAACTGGCCAAGAAACAATTCCCAGGTGAGACGACGACAACAATAACAAAATTACATTTATAGAGCGCCTTTCACGTGGGAGGACATCCCACTGAGACGTTCCTGAGACCACAAACCTCCGTCGGTCAGTCTGTCCATCCGATGGGTGTGTGCTTTTGTTTAGCCACTAGATGGCAATATGTCCACCACACAATGGACTGAAGCAATACATCTTACAGACTGGTTAGTGAAACCCTGTATTCCTGTACGGCCCCAATTACATTGTCGCCACAGCAGAGATGGAATGTGTTTGAAGGAACAGGTCGTGTGATTATTACGCGTAATGCAGCCCAATTATATGTGTCGCTGCAACAGGCTTTGGGGGTGGGGGGGGTTAAAATTGAAAGACAAAAGTTAAAGCTGGCGACGGTACTATTGTGAAAGAGAGAGGGGGGTTTACCCCGATGACAGTTCCTGATTCCTTGGCTGTTTGCGAGTCTTTGCTGTTTCCATTCGAAAACAGTCACTGCACCACAGACTCAAATCACCTTGAAGCATTTTGCGAGGTGCTGAGAATGCCACTTTGATAATTTCCATCACTTTAATAATAATCATAGTCCTTAGCATTTGATATGAGGCCTTATCACAACTTCTAGACGTCTCAAAGCGCTTCACAGAATATACCGTAAAGTGAATTGACTGTGTATTTTCTGGGCGAAACACAGCGCCCAAATTGCGCACAGCAATGTCCCAAAAACAGTTGTGGATTGAGTGAACAATTTTTTTTAAGGAATTATTTCCCCCGGAAAAGCGATCCGCCAATTGACTAACAACCGGTTCCTACTTACTGCTAGGTAAACAGGCGTGTGGGTTAAGGAAACTTGCCCAACATTTCACCTTGCCGGGAATCAAACCCAGGTCTCTCGCTTGCGAGGCGAGTGCTCCAACCACTTTAGTTTCTCTTCCTCCTCTCCCCCACTCCCCACTCCCACTCCCAAACTAACATTTCCTCTGCTTTGCCCCCAGATGACCCCCACGTACGTTACTCTTCCGTCAGCAGCTTTGTCTTCCTGCGTTTCTTCGCGGTGGCTGTCGTGTCGCCGCACAGCTTCCACCTGCGGCCACACCACCCGGTGAGTCGCCCACACCGAGAGATGGGGATGGTGGTGGGGGGCAGGGGGTGGGTTGGGGGATTGACGGGAGGGTGGGAGGTGGTGAACCGAACCGTTCTCCACCAGACTCACTGTTTCTCCGATGCCTTGCAGGATGCACAGACATCCAGAGCGTTGACGCTCATCTCTAAAACCATCCAAACCTTGGGAAGTTGGGGCAGTTTATCGAAAAGCAAACTGGTCAGTCCGCTCACTGTCTCTGCATCCATTTCCTTCCCGGCCCATCCTGTTCCGGTATATTCACCCACCCTAACCTCTGGGACTTAAAATCTATCTCTGTCACCTCACCTCTCTGTGTGTCTTTAAATCCCTCCCATTCATAGTCTATCTCAAGGTGTACCTCTTTGACCATGCTCTCAGTCACCTTTTCCCTTTCCCGTCCCCTCCCCTTCCATTCCCCAGCTTGTGTGCCCAGCATTGTTGAGCACTTTGAGACATCTTCCCAACATGAAAGGTGCTGAATAGATGTCCATTGTATTGTAACTTCCTCTTCAAAACCTATCTCTCTGAACACAACCACAGGCAACCTCTTTCTTGCTCGGCATATGACTCCTGTCTCTTGTAAAGCGCTCCGAGATCTTATCTTACGTGAAGTGAAGGGCACTGTATAAATGCAAATTGTTAATTCAGATTTCTCTCTTCATGTTTGCAGTCCAGTTTCAAGGAGTCCTTTATGTGTGATTTCTTTAAATTATTTCAAGAGGAAAAATGTATTGTTGAATCTGTTAAAAAGGTGAGTTTCTAAAGGCTTTGCTTCTCTGCACAACGCACTGATACATTTCACTTGTTCAGCCGGGGTTGACCTAACCAGTCTGGGCTTTGGTTTGCACCCTTGGGAACATTGTCTAAATGCCTAAGTTGCATTGGCCAACCATCGATGGTCCTGGATTCCTGCAGCTCTACATGTCTCTGTTAGGTGTATCTCCGTGGAGCCTCTTCAAGCTCCTCTATTTGGCTCCCATCAACGCTCACATTGTCTGTGAACTATTTTTGGGGGTTTCTGTATTGGTAAAGGGCTGTGCTGCTCTGCCCCTCCCCGCTCCTCACTCCCCCACCCCACCCCACCCCACCCCCACCACCAATAACTCACAGTCCAGGCTGATTATCCCACTTACGCACACAGTCACTGCCCCATGTTTGAAAACTCTGCTATCTGTGTTTTTTATGTTAGTTTTTAGATGAAATTTCTTCAGCTCAGAGCAAGGAGTCTGGGGGTGTGGATGAGCCTGTTGTCCTCAAAGAAGGGTAAGTGAGGAGTTCATTCCTTGAGTCCTGGTGGGATTTAATCCTTCCCGCCCTGTCGCCTTCATTTTTTTTACAGTGAGGAAGTAGCTTGGAGCTAATTCTCTCCCGATATCCAATTGTCATATATATATAGATATGACAAATATAAAAATAACTGAGTGAGTCACAGAGTATTTCACAATCACAGAGTGTGTCACATTCGCAGGATAGGAATGTTTAAGATCTTGTGGAATTTTGGAAAAACAAACCTTAAACTGAGTCCTGATTTGGAAGCAGATTTTGCTCAGTCCTTCTTGAGCCCCTATCAGCTTAATAATCATGATCATAATTACTATTATTATCAGCTTGCAAATTATTGTTTGCTTGCAAATTCATTATTATTATCAGCTTGTAAATCAAAGTTCTGCACCATCTTCAAATTTTAAGACAACGATCTTAAGGATAAGAACTTGAGGAATTTCAAGACACACACACACCCACACACACAGGTTATAAACAGTACAGATTACGGTAAGGTGGGAGAATCTGTGGGAGATGGCTGATGTAAGAAGTTGGTATGATGGGATGTAATTGGTATTGCTTCTCGTTTGGCTCATGGTATAGCTGACTGGTGTGTTCGTTGCTGAGCCTCTTGTCAAAAGGTGCAACAATTGTCCTTTCCTCCATCTGGCAACTGTCACAAAAAGAAAGGTTTCACACAAAGTCTTGGACAGGGAGCAGCAAGCTCTAACAGGGTTTCCTTTTACAGACCGATTGTTAAAAGAGCTCAGGGAAAAAATCGCATCCACAAAGCGTACAATTTTAAGAAGCGGTGGCTTCGACTGACCAACAGAGAACTCTCCTATCACAAGACTGCAGGTACAACTCTTAATCCTGACTTTATCCTTCAATCACCCCAATCCTTGCCAGACTCCACTGCCTCCCTGTATCTGAACGGATTGGGATCATTGTTCCCTCGCCCTCACAGATCAATCCATCAGCGCCCTTGCAACTCCCTACCTACTCTCATCTGCTTGCTCCCTCCCCTGGGTATCACTGGAGTGTCCCCTGTCCATTCCGTCCCACCATGAGTGGAAAAGCTTTCTACCCCCACTCTCTGGAACTCTATTCCAGAATCCCTCCCACTCGCCACCTCTCTTTCTATGTTCAAAACCCATTAAAGAACTCCCCCATGATCACTGTCATCTGTGCCCCCAGTAATTCAGAGCAGCTACACCAGGTGGCGCCAGCTGTTATAACACTGAATGAAGTTGCAGCATTTTAACTGCACAATCTCTTTATTAAAATAAATATTAACACCACATTTGTGTCAAATTGTCCAGAACTCTCCCACTAAATTCCATGCAGATGATGACATGCAGGAGGGACATCTGATTGCTCATATGCAATGGGTTAAAGCTGCAGGATCTTTGTTTATGTGAGCGGACACGGGGTGTGGGGTCAGCAGAAACCATTTGTTTCAAAGAAACATTAGCTTGTTTTCTTTGTATTTCTTGACTCCCCCATCACCACCACCCCTATTAGCGTCAGTAACTTAGCTTCCCGCTGCCACCAACAATGTGCTCCTTAATCACCATTTTAAACTGAAGGCTAATCATCTCCGAGACTTAAAACAACAACAACCTCAAAGTTGCATTTATCTAGCCCCCAGCATGTAGTGTAGTGTTTCTTGAGCGTTGAAAGCCTTGTCTCTTTGAACTCATTTTGGGTCATCTTTCCTCCCCCTTCCCCACTGCCCCCCTGACCACCCCCCCACCCCACTCCCCATCTCCTCTTCAGCTCCTGCATGAAACACTTTGGGATGTCCTCCTCACATTAAAGTAAAATGTAAATTGTATTGCATCTCTCTCCCAAGCTAAGGAAGCATTGTGCTCCATCCCAGTCAACGGAATTCTTGCGGTTGAGAAACTCGATGAAAGATGCTTCAATAAAAAAAATGTAAGTGAAACCCTCACGATAACTCACAGTAGAGTGTCGGACTGTTCTGATGTGCTCTCTCCCAATCTTAAAAAAAAACTGATGGCAGCAATTGTTTTCCTAATGTACGACCCCACTGGGCCCTACCTCTCTGTGCTCGGCCCGGTCTCCTCTCTACTCCCACTCTGGCTCCCTTTTATCGATGTGCAATTCCACATTCCCTCTGGTACCTTGCCCCAAGTGGCCATTGAGTGACGAGTAAAATGGCGTCACTTGCTAACATTTTGCATGGGAAACAGCTGGGATATTGACTGCACCGCAATGTATGTGCTAGTGATGAGTTAAGCCAGGGCTGAATTAGCAGGAGTATATTGCAGTTTGGTTTGGATACTCCCAGGCGTGAAGATAGGTTTCTGCATGTGTCAGATACCTAGCTGACCAAAAAAACAGCTCGCGTTTCCATAGCACCACGGAGAGCAAGCCTCAAAGTGCCGAATAGATGGACATTAAGTCATGTGCATTCCTGCAATGTCCAGTTGGTGACATGAAAGTAAAGGAGCGGACATTGTAACAAGTAGTGAGACTCGGGAATCTTTTCTGAACATGTTGTGGGAAGTTTGTGTCAGAGCTTTGTATGAACACCATTAGGTTAATGGAAAAAAGCTGCTTTGTACATTTCCCTTGCAGCTACTGCACGGTGAGAGGCAACGTAAAAATACCTTGGAATTGGAATTCTCAGTAATGAGCCCTGTTTTTCTAGGGATCTTAATGTTGTGGTGTATCTCCTGCCAGCTGCTTGTTCATTAAACCCAAGTTTCATCCTTTGAAACCATTAATTCCCTCTCTCCCTCCACCTGGTCTCCTGAAATCGGCAGCCCATGCTGAGGTCCGCTTTAATTATGAATTGTCCCCTAGATCAGACCCTAGCTCCCCAGGTGGGGTGCCAAGCCAGGACTGTTAACCACCTTGGGACATCGTCCCGACTTGAAAGGCGCTACATTCATGTGAATTTTTATTGTATCAGTCAGTCTAGTGCCTAATTATTTTGACATTTCAGCGACCTGCCATGTTGTGGCTTCTGCGATGTTTGGCTCCTCTCCTTCCCATATTTCCCTTTCTTTCCCATTGTGGCCTGCCTAGGAGCACGCACACCCCAGAATACCCCAACGTGCCTCACTGGGAGCCGATCATACTCTCCAGGTCATTGCTTATAATCATTAGCAATGCTGCTGCTAATAATAAAAATGATAATACTTATATTTGATACAGTGCTTTTCATGTCCGAAGGATGCCTAGAGAACTTCACTGAATGTACTGTAAAGTGAACGACTGTATTTGCGTGTAATTGTGAACATGACAGCCAGTTACACACCACAGTGTCCCATAAACAGCCATTAAGTAAGTGAGTGACCAATTTTATCTGGAGGTTTATCGGCTAGGATGCTGGAAGAAACTCCCTTCTCTTTTCAAGCAGTACCATGGGATCTTTAAAGTCCTCCTGAGCAGGCAGACAGGACCATGGTTTAATGTCTCATCTGAATGACGGCATCTGCATTGGAGTGCCAGCCTAGACTGTATGAATTCCAAGTCCTGACATGAGGCATGAACCAAGATTCCTCTGACTCAGAGGCAAAAGTGCCATCAACTGAGCCAGCCTCACACAAAACTGGCTCCCAGGGTTGCACACAAATAATTCCCAGGCTGATCCGAGCCGCTGGCCCCGGTTAAAATAATTTGGATACTCGGGAACTTTGTCTGTCCCTGACATCACCAGCGTGTTCTGTTCTAGGTCAGGAGAACCCAGATCCTCGTCAATTGAGAAGCTGGCCAGGAAGGATGAGAATTATATTTAATACAGCTGCAAAAACACTCCCAGCACAAAGTTTTTGTTTTGAAATTTCCTTCTGCTTTATGTTCTTGGGCCCCTGTTGTTAGCAGTCTTAATATTAAATCATTTGAGCTGCTGAATCAACCTGTCAAGCTGAGGGTTTGAAGGAACCTGCGAGGCTACAGTTTCAGAGCTCCTTAGTGGTGTTACAAACCCACTTTTCAGTGGCTCTCACACCACAAATCAGCCCAATTCTTGGCTTCGGGTCACCACCTTCCACAATGAAATGCAATAATAATAATCTTGCATTTGATGCAGCACTTTTATCATGTCAAAATGTCTCAAAGCGCACAGATTTACTGTTGATTGCAGTGACCAAGTATTTTGTAGGTGAATGCGGCAGCCCATTTGCGCACAGCAACATCCCATAAAGAGGCATGAAGTGAATGACCAACGTTATCTGGCTAGTATCTGTTCCTTACACAGACCCCCCCCCCCCCCATCTCACAGACGATTGCTGAGTCACTACAGAGTGTGTTTGTGACCTGCTTATTCTCAGCTCAAAGCCCCTGCTTTGTAGACACTTAATCTGTGTTAAAACCTTCACCCCTTCTTTCCATCCCTTCACTCCCCAATCTCCAGAGCCAAACAAAAGCTACCCGCTTGAAGGGTGGTTGTTTTTTTTCGTAGCTGGTGAGACTTTTGGAACAGAGTTGATATTAGAGTTGGTTTGATGGTATTCAGATAGGACTACTGCAATGTGGAGTTTCCAGAGATCAAGTGACTGGCTTCATGTGGATAGTAAATTCATTGCATGTTTAGTTGTCCACTTCGGGTCGGGCTTATGTGATTAGAATTTAATCAAATGAGAATTTAGGCACTAATCCGATAATCACACCTGCTTAATGCCTCGAGGTTCCATTGAAGAAGAATCCTTGTACTTGGTACAGTGGCTATCACATCATATTACTTCATTTCTGTAGCTTAGGGACTGCATATTTTGTGGGCGAACATGGGAGCCAATTTGCACAGCGCAATGTCCCACAAACAGCTATGAAGTGAGTGATGTGGAGGATCATTGGTCAGAAAATAGGAAGAAACATCCACCTGAACAGGCAGAAGGGATCTCGTTTTAATGTCTCACCTGAAGGACAGCACCTCTAACTATTCAGCACTCCTCAAGCACTGCATTGGGGTGTCAGCCTGGACTAGGAGGTCAAAGTGTCAAATGCCAATGGTCAGTTTTCTCTACACCAATGGTTAGTGATGTCTGTCCCGGCTTGTCTAGGAGTCAGTCAGTCAGTACATCGAGAGTCTGAGATGCACTGAACGCTCGCTCCTTGCAATGATTGATACCTCGAATATCTGAAAGTAACAAAAAAATCATTTTCTTTTCAGATGTTTCAAGTCATCAGTAGGGAGAGACCTGAACGTCCCCTTTACGTTCAAGCCAACAACTGCGTGGAGGCCAGCGAGTGGGTCGAGGCGGTGACCAGAGTGAGCCGGTGTAACCGGGAGCGTATCCGCCTTTACCATCCAGGCGCTTTCCTATGCGGAACCTGGATCTGCTGCAAACACACGGACGAGAAGGCAGCCGGCTGCTCCAGCTGTACGGGGTGAGTCCTGATCCCAATCTCCAGCTCGGGTCCAAAGCCTTGACCGTCTGGTGCCTCGGGATGTCCTCCAGTCGTGAAAAACGCTATAACAAATGAAATGTGTTGCTGTTGAGTCTGTCTGGAACCCCGGCGCCAACCCTCGGGTGTCAACCCGTCAGCCACGACTCACGCATCTCGCTGTGGAGCTTCCTTTTTGCACTGAGGGAAGTGAGCTCAATGTATTGTGAAGGACTGTGTGGCTGGACAGGCTGCTGTTTGCTGGGCCTTTGGAACCACTTAGTGACCAAAATGAATCATGGCCTTGCTCGCTGTGGTGCCGGAGTTCGGAAGCTGAACTGGAAGATCCGAGGTTCATCCCGGTCTCGAGTCCCATTCACATCAAGCGTTCATTCGGAAGGTTGAGGTTCGGGGAGTGGGGGAGAGAGAGAGAGGAAGAGAGAGGGGATCATTTCTGCGACATCTAAGGTGGCAGAGAGAGTGTCAATGAAGATCTTGAATTTCAAGACAATGGACTTGAGGCTAAGACCATGAGGCTTCAAATGGTGGTAATTATTGGGCTTGGCTGTGACTTCTTCCCCCCACCCCCCCACAAACACACACTCATTTGTATGAAGGGAGGGAGCCAAGTAATCTGGTATGTGTGCCTCTCTCTCTCTTTCATTTCCACTGTGTGAGGGTTGAAGGAGCAGGCCTGACTGTTAAAACAGGGCTATTTGCTGATATTGGTTCTATCTGTGTCTCATTTTTCCTGGCAATAGAGGTGTCCCAGCAAATATCCAGTTGGATATTGACAGCGACCGTGAGGCGGAGAGAATCTTTTCACTGTTCAGAGCTAATCTGCCCAGACTCCAGAAGATGGAAGGTGAGTGAGCGAGAAGGATTTTTACATTTAATTTAAAATCAAAAAGTAGATTAGAAACCATTGGATTTGCTTGGGCTTGGGAAAGAATAAGCAGACAATGAAGGCGTTCACTCTAGCTTTCTCTCTCTCTCTTTCTCTCTCATGTTTCCGCACTGGAAGTACATCACATTGGAACACACTTCCTGTGTTCCCTACTTCTTGTGGGTCACCATCGCCTACTTCTTGTGGGTCACCATACCCTACTACCTGTGGGTCACTATACCCTTCTTCCTGTGGATCAATGCTAGGAGTTCCCATTTGTGCGACTTGGATTCCTTACTAAGAAACATTGTAAATTAGACCCCTCCTCCCCCTCCCATTGTGTCTCAAAAGATGCTTGTTTTTAAATGAAAGGTTGTTACTGAGATTGGAAAGCTTGTCTCCTCTCGTCTTCACAATCTCCTCCAGCCTGTGTCCTTTGCACACTCTGCCCTCTTCCAAATCAGATCTGTGGCCCTTACTCCCTCTTTCACTCTTTCTTTCATTCATTCACCCACTCATTCAATCTTTCAGACACCATGCCCTCATTCTCTTGAACTCTCTCACAAGACCCCTCCTTCACCCTCTCTCCCTTCAAAACCCTCTTTAGAAACCTAACACTTTGACTGTGTGTTTGGTCAGTTCCCTCACGTACCCCCTCCTCCGTGCTCCGTGATTGATCCCCTGTAAGGCACTTTGAGACATGTTTCCTCTGTCCAAGCTTATTTACTTTGGTGATTCCTTCATAGACGTGTGCGCGAGTATCGATGTATATCAGGGCCCTCTACAGGAGCAGGACGAGAATGCCCACTTCACCATTGAAAACTCCAGGGTCACCTTCCAGACCGTCCAGCAGATCAAAGCCGTTGTGAATAAGCTTTCAGAGTCCCATGAGCAGCACAGGGTAACCAGGTCCACCAGTGCCCAATACGGCAGCAAGTGAGTCATCATCTCCTCCCATTCCCCATTATTATTATTATTTCAGCTGGTCGGTGATCTGTTGCTCTCAATGTTGAATATTGAACCTTAGTAATAAAATAATAATCCTCGCATTTGATATAGCACCTTATCACATCGATGAGATGTCTCAAAGCACTTCTCTGAATATTCTCTGAAGTGTAGTGACTGTGTGTTTTGTGAGTGAAACGCAGCAGCCAGTTGCGCACAGCAATGTCCCACAAACAACCATGGAGTGCGTAATTTTATTTGGGGGATTGTTGGCCATGGCACCTGGAGAAACTTTCTCTTTTCGAATAGTAGCATGGGATTTTTAATGTCCACCTGAACAGGCAGCCGGGGCCTCAGTTAAACATCTCATCTGAAGGACAGCATCTCCAGCAATGCAACGCAATCCCAGCAGTGCTTTGGAGTGTCATCTTAGACAATGTGGATTCCAAATCCTGACATGGGGCTTGAACCCACAGCCTCTGACTCGGAGGCAAGAGTACTACTACCTCTGTGCCAGGCTGACACATTAATTGAATAACATCATCTACCATCCCCAGCTTGGGTCCCAAGCCAATAATGTTAAAAGCGTCTTGGGAAAGGCGTTTCATCAATCTACGTTTGTATTGTTTATTTCAGAAATTACAGAATACTCTGTGTCTGCATCGCAAATTTCTGTGAACCACTTTAGTAAATCCTCCCTACATGAGAGACTATATATGCAAGGATTATTACTATTATTATTAATAATAAAACTTTTCAGTTAGTTACACACAGAAACAGGAGGAACCCATTAAGTCTACCAAATCTGTTTGATAGATCTTTTACTCAGTTTTTCACCACATTCCTTCACACTCTAACTTCCTAAGTATCTGCCTCCCATTGAAATATCCTAGAGTCCTGGCCAATATTCCCCCAGATAAAAATCAGCCATTCACTTCATGTCTGTTTGTGGGAAGTTGTGGGAGAATGCTGTGTGTGAATTGGCTGCTGCGTTTGCCTACAAATAGACAGTCACCGCACTTTGCATTAATATTTGTGAAGCACTTTGAAACATCTCGACGACGTGGTCAGGGACTTTTTCAATGCGAGGATTATTAAAATTATTATTATATCCCAGTTGATTTCTGCCTCTGGGGCTTCCCAGGCTTCTGGGGAAGAATGCTGGATATTTTCAGTGTGACAAAATCTGAGCTCGCTTCCAAACTTCCCCATTCAAATTTTGGATAGCCACATTGGGTTGTTTGTGGGACATTGCTGTGCACAAATTGGCTGTTGTGTTCGCCCACAAAACGTATAGTAATTGCACTTTACAGTATAAGCTGCGAAGTACTTTGGGATGTCCTCCGGACGTGAAAACGCTGTAACAAATATAAGGATGATCATTATTATTATTCGACCAGACTGTGTGAGTGGCAATATGAAAATAAAATCGCAGTGAAAGCCTATTTGAAAAAGATAAAAGAGGTTTGTTTGAAGCCACATTGTTGGGTTTGGCTGTGATTTAAGAATTCTTTTGTATTCAGTAGTAATATTCCTTTAATCGCAAAACTATTGTAAACATGTTTTTTCTTTTCTGTTTCCCACCCTCTTCCCCTTTGTTCACAGAGAAAATCCCATCGGAAGGGAATAGTTATGCCGGATTAGTGCAGGACAGAAGCACCTGAAGTGGACAGTTTGTAATCCCTTAACTTTTAACCTGCAGCACGGAGCCATGTGTTATATAGCCTGAGGGACACAGCTCACAGAGCCTTATCACTGGTAACACTCACCATTTTATGGGGGTGGAGGGGGCAAAGTTTATTTGACGTGAAGAATGGATTATTTTGATGCACTTTAACCTTCTGGACTCACCCAGGGGGGAATCTTAACTTAATTTAAAATATATTTTTGAAAAAAAACAAAAGTCACAAATAAACCGCGACACCTCGGATATTGGTCCTTCCCCCCCCCCCCGCCCCCCGATCAGTTGGGTGACCGGTGTGGATGTGACTGAGCGACACTGGTAGAGGCGAGGCTGTTTGCTGTGGGTTTATCTTTGAGGTGGTCGTGAGACAGCATCTAATGTAATGTCTCAGATGCTCTTTAGGTATTTTTAAGCTCTGCTCCTGTTACTTTTCTGTTGTTAATAAGAACTGAATGAAGAACGTAAGGAAGCTGTGAGAGGATGTTAAACGTGCCGGAGGTCTGTGCCCTCTGCTGATTGCCCAAATTAATCATTATTTATTTAGGTACTCTGTCCCTGTGTGAGCCGTGTTTGGAGAGAATTCCTGTGTTATCTTTGAGAATGTTTCTTGCTCTGTTTTTCAGCCTGTTCTGGCAAGGGAAGGATTTCTGTTCACGCAACTTCCCTGTCTCTTGTCTGTGTTTCTGTGCATCTCTCTGGCTAAATGTGTGTGTGGATATGTGTCACCGTCTCTCTCTCTCTCTCTCTCTCTCTCTCTCTCTCTCTCTCAATCACTCTGTGTGTGTGTGTGTGTGTGTGTGTGTGTGTCTATCTGTCTCTCATTCTATTTGTGTGTATGTGTGTCTCTCAACAACAATAACAACTTACATTTATGTAGCGCCCTCCATGCATGGCGGCATCTCAAGGCGCTTTCACTTTGTGTGAGTCTCTCTTTATCTGTGCGTCGCTCTCTCTCTCACTCTGTAGTGTGGATGTGTGTCCTTTTTGCTCTCACTGCTTTCCTGTACATGTTTCCCCAAGTCAGACCTCACTCCATTTGGCTCATTATCATCTCTGAAGATAACCTCGGCTTCAGTAAATGCTTGGATGTATGAAGACATCATTTTAACCAGCTTTAATCTTGTGCAATATTTAAAGGGAAACAGCGATTTATGAAACATGTTTTGAAAAATACATAGAATGTCTCCATACCCCTTACAGATCAACAAATAAATGATACTTCAATTAGCTAATAGCCCAACATGTAATTAGATAACTTTATTCTACAAAGAAATGGCAAGATTACAGAGAGGTTCAGATGAAGAAGACCCTTCGGCCCATTTGATCCCTTCCTTCCAGAATACCCACCCGAACCACCCTCCCATCACAGCCTCGAGCTGCTTTTTTTTAAACCACTCTAATAATCCTGTTCGTCATTAATTATCCTTTGTAAATACTGGAAAAAAAAACTGCATCATTCCAAAACAATCTTTAAACTAAAACGCACTTGGTAGCCATCACCCAGATTAGGTTTCTCCCTCGTCAGCGCTCCTCTCCTGCTAACAGTGAGAGAGGCTGTGCATTGCCCAAATTGACCATTGCTCTGTGTGAGCTTCGACAGTGAATGCTGGCTGATTGATCATGGAAGGGACTGTAGGGGAGATGGGGGGTAACTAGTGCCTTCTAGGAGTAGGAATACTGGTTGATATTTTTCTCTTGCCCAAGCCAAGGGGTGAATTGTAGTTTCTATCACTGCTGCCACCATTATGCAACAGGAGGTGTTCAACCTGGGACCTTGCTGGTCCATGTTATCTCCGCTTGTTACACACCACACAGTGCATTTGACAGGCTAAGCCATCAGGGAAAAGTCAAAGCCATTCATTTTAACTGTGCTCCAATATCGAGGAGCATGATTAACTTGCAACAGTCACAAGCCAGCAATATGTCAACACTTGTAGAAGGAGGAGTTGGTGAAATCTATTGCACTGCACAATCTCCTGGGGCAGACCAAAGCACATGTTCTATCGTTTGGCCAATGCACAGTGTTTCATTGTACAACTGCCGAACAGGGCTTTAATATTGTAACGCAGTCCCTGAAACTAAGCCACTCAGTAAAGGACAACCTATTTTACTCTGCATTGTATTTGCAGTCTGATCAGTGTTGCATGGGCAAGAGTACACTGGAACATTAGCAAGTGCCTGAATGGGCATCGCCAGGAATACACAGATCTGCACTGTGTTGTCCTGTCTAGAGTTTCAATATTAATTATGTAAATTTTGAACAGAACGCACTATTGTACAATCTTGTAAATTAGCTTTTTTTTAAAAAAAAAACTTTTTTTTGTAAGACTTGTTTCTCTGCATGTTAGTGTTGTAGAAAATTGTATTTTTATTTAAAGTCTATTTTCTTACCAAAACAATAAAACCTAAAATTGCAAAAAAAAATCATTGTTGGGCAGGTATGTCATATCGTTTTTGTCTGCAACCAGTGGTGAAAAATACAGTCACTCAGTGGTTAGAGCACTCGCCTTGCAAGCGAGAGACCTGAGTTCAATTCCAGGCAGGGTGAAACCTTGGGCAAGTTTCCTTACTCCACACAGAGCCTAATAATAATCCCTCCAAAACCAAAAACAATAATAAATTGGTCACTTCAATCCATGACTGTTTGTGGGATATTGCTGTGCGCAATTGGCTGCCGCGTTCGCCCACAAATACCCAGTCAATTCACTTTACAGTCTATTCTGTGAAATGCTTTGAGACGTCGAGCAGACGTGAAAAGTGCTATATCGAATGCAAGAATTATTATATTATATAAGGTGCAATATCAAATGCAATAGCAAAAAACTTCTTGCATTTGATATAACACCATTTAAGTTGGGAGGACATCTCCAAGCTTCACAGGATTCAGTGTAAAGTGTAGTGACCTTATTTTTGTGGGTGAACGTGGCAGCCAATTTGTGTAGAGTAATGTCCCACAAACAACCATGAAGTGAACGACAAATTGTGTTTGGGGGATTGTTGACCAGAACACTGGGAAAACCGCCCTTTTTTTTTTGATTCGTGATGTAGGATCTTTAACGTCCACCTGAACAGACAGAGACAGGACCTCAGGTTAACGTCTCATCCAAAGGATAACATCTCTGAAAATAGTACACACCCACAGCACTGTACTGGCATGTCACTTAAGACTGTGAAGGCATTTGTAGACGGGCAAAAAGATATACTATTGTATATTGAGTAGAAGCAAAATTGTTGACGGCTGTGAAGTTAGTGTGTGGTTAGAATGTCCACTCGTGCCAGGGACAATGAATAAGCATTAACAGAGAGAAAAAGAGAGAGGATTAGGGTTCTCAGGCCCCTGGAAAAGCAGAGCAGAACCACCAAAGTGAGCCAACAATATCCCTTGTTGAGAGCAAGGCATGAGCTAGGAACTTCCTCGGGGAAATTGAGTTTGAGATCACATTGGTGACTTAGGGTGACTGTTCACAGCTTTGCACTTGATGTCAAAATTTGTGTCAGAAATTAAAGTATTGTTGCTGCATTTGTCAGGAAATTCTTTGTAGAGTTCAGACCCCAGGGTCCAAAGCCGCAGTGCAAAAATGAAATGTTGGGTTTGACATGCAATGAGGAAGCTGTTAACTCCCCACATTATTAATACAAGACCTCTAGGCTGGGTTCTGTTTTGAAAAGCTGCACCTGCTGGGAATGATTTAAACTGTGCGTCCTTCGTGTTTTGGGAATATAGCCTGGAGTTGAGCAATTCCCTGAAATAATTACAATAATAAAAATACTTGCATTTGATATAGGGCTTTATCACGTCTTTGAGATGATTCAAAGCACTTCATAGATTATACTGTAAAGTGAATTGACTGGATATTGCTGTGGGTGAAACTATATAAACTATATATATATACATTATAAATTTTATGTAAACTATATAAATTTCCAGCTCAATCATTACCCGATCCTAGAGGTGGGCGAGTGGAGTGGGGGGGGTGGGGGTGCGGCGAGGGCTAGATCGTAAGGATGTTATAGTTGATCTATGGACTCGGGAGGGAAACTTTGTGGGTGAACAATTGTGATTTTAAAACACTTTAGCCAATTTTCTCCCCAAGTCTAAATGGCCCTGGCCCTACCTTGAACCCAGTTTGTAGTGCCTACCTGCCCATACATTCTTCCCCCCACCTATAAATTCACCCACAAAAATATAGCCAATTCACTTTTCAGTATATTCCGTGAAATGCTTTGAGACTTCTCAGTGCGATAATGTACTTCATCAAAAGCATATTATTATTACTGACTCTGGGGTTTAACTTACACTAAATCCTTAGACTTCAAAATCTTTCTGAACTTTTCTTCATGTTTTTCTAGTGGAGGGTGCCGGGGGGAAAGGAAACTATGTTATCACTGTATAAAGATGTGAAGCTCCTTTTAGCATTAGGTCAGATTGTGGTAGTCCCATAACATGATCGTAATCTCATCAAAGCCTATTTTTACTGTATTTTTAAACTCCAATTTCTCACACTTCTCAAGTTGCAGGCAGGACTGTCAGATATTCTCTGGAGGCCAAATGCTTTTATGTTTATTAAAACAAAATTCCTGCCAGAGAAATCCACTCCTCTGAACTCTGTGGGGAGAGTGAGGCTTCGGTTTGGGAGGTAAATATCCTGATTCCCGGACCCTCAGCTAGTCTGTCTCCAATGAAACGTTAAAATAAACTTGAATCTGGGTCCAAGAATTTACATAACATTATTTTTTCAGTGTGCACATTGTGCAGTAGACCTTGCCCTCTCTGGAGGGACTCAGGCACAGAAGCTCCACTGGATGCCTGTCTTCAACACAAGCAAATATTTTGTTAAATACTGTTCCTTTTCCAACTCTCATAAAACAAACTATCCCTGCTCCTTAACTCTTTATATGTAATAAACTCCTCACCTCTCATGGGCTGCAGTTTCTCTCTAAAGTCTGTATTTGTTTCCTATCTGGCTGGTCAGTAGCACTCTTGGCCTCTGAGTCAGAAGATTGTGGGTTCAAGGCCTATGTCAGGATTCTGAACTCACATTCTAGGCAGTGCAGGGGGTGTAACAGAGCATTGCAGTGTTGGAGGTACCATCCTTTAGATGAGGTGTTTACAAAGATTACAAACAACATACAGCATGGAAACAATATACTCGGCCCAAAGTGTCCTTGCTGATGTTTATACTCCACACAAGTTTTTACCTATTCCTTACTCCCTCCCATACTCTTCTTCTCCACACTCCCTCACCTTCCTCTTGAATGCATCTGATTCAGCCACTGCCTCAGGCAGCAAGTTCCACAATCTCACTACGCTCTACTTGAACAACTTATTCATGGAGTCCTGTAGCTCAGTAGTTAGAACACTCGCCTCGCAAGCTAAAGACCTGGGTTTGGTTCCTGACGGGGCGAAATGTTGGGCAACTTTCCCTCTTCCACACGTCTCTGTTTACTTAGCAAGTACTTAGATAGTAAGTAGGAATCCGGTTGTTAGTCTATTGGCGGATCGCTTTTATAGGGGTAATAATTCCTTAAAAAAATAATAAATTGGTCACTTCAATCCACGACTGTTTGTGAGACACTGCTGTACACAATTGGCTGGTGCGTTTGGCCCACAAAATATACAGTCAATTGACTTTGCAATATATTCTGTGAGGTTCTTTTGAAACATCTTGAAGATGTGATAAGGCGCTATATCATATGCAAGGATTATTATTATTCATGTTAGACTGAGGTCCCATCTGCCTGTTTAGGTGAACATTAAAGATCCCATGGCACTATTCAAAAAGAGAAGGCAGTTTCTCCTGGTGATCTGGCTGATAATACCCCAAGTAAAAAAATGGGTCATTTACTTCATGGCTGTTGGTGAAGTAATTCATTGGCATGATTTCGGATCACCTGTGGTTGGCCATCTTATCAGTGGTGAGAGAGAACATGCCTGCTTTTTCTTCAAATGCAAAAAAACTCTTCCATAACCTCCCATCCTTTTGCAATATCTCGCTCTTGGATACCCCCCAGCTCTTCAAAAGTAATGTGGTGCTGAGGCAGCTAAACAGAAACATATTTAATTAAAATGGAACCTAATTGGCATTCTAGATTTAAGAATTTTTGGCAGCAATGGTAAACAACACGTGGAATTTTGTTGCAACAGTTGTTGATAACACTCTTGAGATTTGTTTTTAAGACATTTGCAATAAGTTTCTACGTTAGCATACTTGCATTTTTCTCCTCAAAAGAAACAGGTACGTATTTCTTTGACACTTTCTGATTAGCATGGAGAGTTGGCCTCTGCTTTTATCCACCTTTACTGACCTTGACAAAATATAAAAATAATCTTTGCATTTGATAAAGGCTATGTCATGTCAAACCATTTCATAGGATTTATTGGTATAGTGACTATGTATTTTGCACACAGCAATGGCTCAAAATAGCCATGAAGTGAATGGCCAATTTTGGGATTTAGGGTACTGGCGGGCATTGGAAGAAACTCCCTCCTCATTTTAAATAGAGCTATGGGATTTTTAATATCTGCCCAAACCTTGATTTAGTAGCTCATCTGAAGGATGATAACTCTAGGCAATGCAGTTGCCCCCTAGCTCTGCATTGGAGCATCAGCCTAGTCTGTGATTCCCGACATGGGGCTTGAACCCACAACTCTCTGACTCAAGAGGCAAGAGTGCTAACAACTGAGCACATTCTTAAATGAGAAAAGCTTACTGTGAGCTCACTGCCTCGGTGCATGTACAATACTGGAAAGCGGAGATTGATTTGCTTACCATTACTGGTAACACTGTCTAGTTCCCACATTCCAAAGCCTGAAGAAAAAAATGTCAACATTGGAAAACCTAGAGACCAGACGACTTATTGTCCTGTGAACCCATTCTCTCTAAGTGCTTTGCTATCTTTTTTCCAAACAGGTTTATATTTTCATTTTTGATCTATTCGATTTCATCTTATTTCAGTTAAAGCCGGGGACTTGTTTGCAATGGAATTGTGATGGGGTGGTGTCAGATGCAGATATAATCTAGGTCAGTGTGGGTAGAGCCTTTAAGTTCTTCAAATCCTTAATTCATTTTGTAGCAATATTTAATGTTTGCTTAATATGCATAGTCAGGGCTGTCGGAAAAAGACAGTCTTTCAAAGCTCCCTTCAGGGCTGTGGGGACCAGGGAAATTATAAAGCATTGCTTGACTTGCACTTGTACCCTGGAATCACGTCTCTGATTTGTATATTTTGTGGGCAAACGTGGCAGCCAATTGTGCACAGCAGCATCCCCACAAACAGTCGTGGATTAAAGTGACCAATTTATTATTGGTTTTTTTCTTGAGGGATTATTATCAGGCGTGCGCAGTAAGGAAACTTGCTCAAGGTTTTGCACTGCCATGAATCAAAGCCAGGTTTCTCCCTTGCGAGGCACGTGCTCTAACCACTGAGCTACAGGAATCCAAAAAAACAATTTTGGGGGTTTCCGTTGTTTAAATGCAATCTTTAAAGTTAATGTTCGCAGTCTTAAACTTGTAAATGGGAAAGAATTCTTTAGAGCTGAACCTTTGAGAGCATAATGTTTTTTAAACTTACTTTCAATGTTTAGAAGTTTACTTAGAAGTTAGGAGCCAACAAAATGTATAATTCGTAATTTAGTACAAGTGGATGTTTCAGATTTGTATCACGTTCACAGTTGGAGATGTGTCATTGTGGCTTTTGGGGGGTGCTGGGCTATATTGCTGAATCTGTTGAGTTCAGAATCCCAGATGTCATCAGGCTGTACAGTACTCTGGTCAAGACGCACCTGGAGTACTGCCTACAAAACTGGTTGTCCAACATAAAGATGCCCAGGCTTAAAAGCAGTGCAGAGAAGAGCAATGAGGATGATCTCCAGTGCTTTGAGTGACTGAGCAACAATAAGATAACCTGTGTTCTTCAGTTTTGAAAGCAGATGATTCAGAGGGTGAGTCATGAGTTGTATAAAATTTTAAATGGAATTTACAAAATAAACCCAGAACAATGCAGAATAACAAGAGGACATAGGTTTAGAGCTGTAAAAGGCAATTTCAGGACAGATTCAGACCAATTTTGTGAACGTGTGATACGCCCAGACTGTAGAACAAGAGGAGGGCAATTTCGGGACAAACACAAGGAAGTATTTCTTTATTCAGAGAGTAAATAATGGGAACACGTTGCCAAAGGATCTTGTGACTCATTTGATTGACAGGAGTTGCTTTCAAGATTTTATCTAAATTTCCAGGATAAACATTTTTTAAAACATTTTTTGGTCTAAACCCTTACAAAGAAGCCATAGTTGAATAACTCATAAGTTAACCTTTTGGGTGAAATCTGAAATGCAGGTTTCAGTCTGTATCAAAATTATATATCAACATTTTAATACAGCAAGTGGTCTAAACAGCCCTTCTTAATTTGGTGATGAAACTGTAACATCTGCCAAGGTTATCTTTCTCCGCAGCTGCCAATTGACCTGATGTGCATTGAAATTATTTTCTCTGTGTGTTCTTGCCTGCTGTTGGCTGAATCACTTAACTATCCAGTCCAAGCACAGCAGGACAAGCACAGCACAGCAAGCGTTCAGCAAAGATCACAAAAAGCATATCATCTGCTGCAGCTCATCAGCTGCGCAGCTGAAAGAAGGTCCATCACACCAGCTGATTGCTGAGATGGAAGGTCAGTCTTTCTCTTTTAAAGACCAGTCAACCTGCTGTGCTGGTTCAGTCTGAACTCTAAACACAAAGGCATAAACCTACAAAAGGGCTTCACAGCCCCGCCTGCAGATGCTGTGCCTCGCGAGCAATCCCGCAGAGAGAGCAACCAATTTTATATGGGAGATTGTTGGGCAGGACACCAGGAGAAACTCCCTTCTCTTTTCGAATATTGCCAAGGGATCCTTAATATCCAGCTTAACAGGCAGATGGGACCACAGGTTACAACAACAAATTGCGTTTATTGCTTTTGTTTCTCGGGACCTCTGTATAACGTCTCATCAGAAGTGCAGCAACACAAACAATGCAGCATCCCACCCCCGAGCACTAAATCAGGGTGTCAGCCCAGACTGTGAGTTAAAAGTCCTGGCATGGAACTTGAACCCACAACTGACTAACTCAGAAGCAAGAGTGACCCTTTGAGTACAATAAATCCACACAACAAAAGATTCCTTTTTTTCTTCTTCAATATAATAGCGAATAAAATTGTAAGGTCATTACATGATTTAACATTAGTATAGCAAAAGGAAACCATCAGCAAAACCCCATCATATCAAAATTGGTGCTGAATAACACTCCTAGCGGAAGGAGGCAATACTGTGCTGACCAACAATTCTAGAGAAGAACTAGATAAATATCTGACTGAGAATATGAGTGGGGCATGTAGTAGTATAACAACAATAAGGGAGGCACAGATGTATAACCATACATTATACAATGATACATTGGTGTTGAATAATGTGGGATGGACTTTAATGGGCTGTTTCTCAAGGGGAATGGAAAAGAACTTTTTTGTATAGAGGTGTGGTTGGGCTAGTGCACATAGTCATCACTTTCTGTGTAAAAAAGTAATTTGAGTGGTGAATACAGTAAGTGAGATAGAGTACCCAGATAGGCAGATTGTATCGGCCCATTCAGGAGGGAATTAGGTACAGTTACTATTTGGCATTAATTTCAATTTGCCTGTATTCTTGTTTTTAGAAATATATATCCATACTTTGGGACTCTCCAGATATATAGTAATGGTCTTTTTAGGTTGATTAAATTCCTGATCGAAGAACAGACTGAGGTAGGTCAATACCCCACGAGATAGAATTGATTCCATGGAATTGACAGAAGGGGCATTGCAGTCCACAGATGCTATCAATCAGTGATTCATAGGGAAGAATAAGACATAGGGAAGACTTGGACCAGTAAGGGAGGAGATGTTGGTCCACTCTTATTGCATTCTGAAGGTGCTTCATGCTCTGATTTCGACCCAACTCTAAACTGGCACTAAAAAACAGGCTGATCTTAAAAGAATTCTCAGACTGCTGTAACTAACAATTGGGATAGATAACAAAAAATCATAACAAATCCAGGCTCCACACAAAGATTGGTTGATGTTCTTTGTAACTGAGCTTTTGGACAGTGCATCGGGTCACCTAGAAGGGGAAGACCAGATATAGTCACAACACGTGACTGCCTGTGTGACTGTGTACCATTTCAGTCAAGTGAATGGTGATTTCAACGGAACATTAGATTTTTCCATTATAAATGAGTTCCATTATAGCAGTTACTATAAAGATGTATATAACATTTAAGATAAAAAAAAGATACACACAGGTGTTTGATCAGCGTGAAACCAACATATGTAGTGTTCAGTGACCAAGGAGTCCATAAATTCAGCCCTTTAAGGTCTCCGTTCTGCCTAAAGATACTACCATTTAGTGCTGGATTATTTGCTATAGACTGACAATAAGGCATCATATTGGGTAGCCTGATAGCTTTTCTAGCAAAGGGTTATACAGTGAAGCGAATGGTGGAGGGTTCCCATCCATTGTGGCTTTGTCAAAGTTGCAGGAGGGCATTGAGGCAGCCACTGGTATTGCCATGTATTGCATTGAGGTCTCTGTGGAAAGAAAGACCATAGTAATGATTTCATAACAGCAACTTGCATTTATATAGCGCCCTCCTCACCAAGTACTGTCTCGGAGTGTTGAGCAATGGCGAAGCTTGACACTGAGATGGGGAGAAAGGGGAGGTGACCATAAGCACGGTCGAAGAGGAAAGTCTTTGGGTGCGATTTGATTTCATAGAAATCATATCATTTTTCAGCACAGAGGGAAACTGTTTAATCCTCAGGCTTGTGCTGGCTCTCTGATGCATGACACAGGCCTTTGTGTTTTAACCCAATGTTTGGTCTTTAATGCAAATGTTAACCCAATCACATCAGCATGTGCCCCAATGCTTTATTTCCATTTAATTTCAGTGTATGTCCAGCAGGTATTGCATTGTCCTAACAATGGTTTTGGTGGCTGATACATTGGTGGTGATTGAGGGCAGGCTCCAAGACACTACTGAACAGAATGTTTTCTTAAACAGAAGTTGCTGGGAACACTCAGCAGGTCAGGCAGCATCTATGGAGAAAGGAAAGTGAGTCAATGTTTCGGGTCCATGACCCTTCGTCAGAACGTTCTGCTCTGTTCTGACGAAGGATCATGGACCTGAAACCTTGACTCACTTTCCTTTCTCCATAGATGCTGCCTGACCTGCTGAGTGTTCCCAGCGACTTCTGTTTTTGTTTTCAGATTTCCAGCATCTGCAGTATTTTGTGTTTTGTTTAGAATGTTTTCTTAGCTTGCCAACCATTGGAGAGTGATCACAAAAGATGAAAAAGGCCATTTGCTCTCATCCTTTCAGAATACCCACTCAAACATCCTACCATCAAAACAACAAGCTATTTATTTTAAACGAGTCCAGTGTCCTGGTCTCAATCACCCATCCTAATACCTCGTTCCCGTCATTATTTACCCTCCAGGTAAATAAATACTTCATGTTGTCTCCTGAAATTGCCCTTTGCAACTCTAAACCAGAGTCCTTTTGTTCTACTATCTCAGTGCATCTAAAAGTATTGTTCTGAGTTTACTTTCTAAATCCTATTTAAAATGTTATATACTTCTACACGGTCTCATCCTGTGCAACCTATAGCCACTACTGTACTCAAACTTCTAAAACATAACTTAGGAACTCATAAACCCACTGAATGTTACTTCTCTTGCATCTGAGTTAGAGTTTGTCGGTTGAGTCACACAATGGGACTTTGAACTTACATTGCTCACTCTATGACCATCCAATGTAGGGCTAGGAGAGGGCTGCATTGTTGGAGGTGCTGTCCTTTAGATGAGATGTCAAATCAAGGCACGTGTCTACTAAGTGGACGTTAAAGATCCCGTGCCATTATTCAAAAAAATAAGGAAAGTTTTCACAGTGTCCTGGCCAGTAATCCCTCAGATAAAATTGATGATTCACTTCATAGTTGTTTGTGGGACATCATTGGTTGCCATGTTTTCCTACAAAATGCTGGTGTTCCTCAATTTGCCATTGAATGGGGGAATGGAATCGATCCATGTGGAGCTGGGATCGCAGGAAGCTAAGAGGAAGCTTGGAGTGAAACATTTCCAAGGCTCGTAAAACTCTGTGGGACAATAAGCTTGATGGATCAAAGCGCTAGTGTTGAATAATACACTGTCCATGTGGAATGAGCTGTCTAAAGAACTCCTTAAAAAANGAGCACTACTGACTGCCAAGAATATCTATTGCCAGGTATTCCTCTAGATCATCATATTTTCACTCTATTCTCTCCCCTCCCACAAGATATTGGGGGATGCATGTGCATTTGTGTGTTTTACAGACCTTCCTTGCTCTGTTCCCTCCCCCACCTACCTCCCGGACTACCACTTGCCTACAAAAAAGTCCATGTGGCTAAGCGGCATTTGAGTTTTCAGGCAAAAAAGCAAATAAAAGACAAGCCACCTGCTGCATGTTGTCCATTCTTTCTTCCTGGGGTAGGAGAGGTGCTGTTGGAGACAGTGCAGCCTGCTCACTGAATTTATATCTCAGCTTCTGAATGTTGAAGAGGTGCATGTTCACATCGTGTCCGATAAGAGAGCCCTTCTGCCAGAGCAGATAGAGAGAGTGTGTGTGTTTCCAACAACAACAAAAGCAACTTGCATTTATATAGCAACCATCATGTAGAATAACGTCTCAGAGCGCTTTACATTGCAGGCTGCACTCTGAGCGGAGGTGATGAGGTGATCATGGGTATGGTGGAAGAGCAAGGTGTTAAGCAAGATTGGAGAACAGATAGAAAGGGGGCTGAGGGTCGAGAGCTTTTGCCTCTTTATAGCAGTTCTTTTTCTTCGTCTCATTGGGAGAGCTCAAATTGAGAGACACAGAGAGGGAGAGAGACTATCCCATCTCTGGTGACAGCCTAGTGTTTACTCGAGCATGGTAAAGCTTTCCCATGGCTGAGTGGAGAGTGAGCCACATGAGCATGTTTGGCGACCACATGCTGAGTACCCCTGACTCCTGATTCCTGACCCACGTTTAGTTAAACATCTTACCATGTTTTTGAAGCTCCCGAGAAAAGCAGTGGTGATGATCCCCAGCAGGAAGGCAGTCAAGTTGAGCGTGGTCACCAACCAAATCAGAATGTACACAAAGTGGACGTCTTGGCAGCTCTTCACTCCCACAAACTCAAAGTAATTGTCCAAATAGCCACCACTGTGCAAACAGGGCACAAACATAGTTTGTGTTAAGTCATCTGCAGTTCAGATACGGGCTGACCAAGCGTTGAAACTAAACCCTGTTAGGAATGTAGCAACTGAGGAACAGTTTCTGGGCAGGGGTATTGGTTTGTCAACAAACCAAGCTCTGTGTACAGTGTTTATGTGTGTGCGTGAGTGTGTCCCTCCCTCTATTCACACCTGAGATGTCAGGGTTCTGTAACCCCAACAGATAATAATCTTTACAATTGGTATAGTGCTTGATACATCAGGAGGTCGTCTCAAAGTGCTTCACAGGATTTAAAGTGGAATGACTCTTTTTTGTGGATGAACAAAAGGGCAGCTGGTTTGTGCATAGCACTGAACCAAAAGCAGCCATGAAGTGGCAAATTGGCTGCTGCGTTCGCACTAAAAAAAACTGCACTTTTAGAATAAATCCTGTGAAGTACTGTGTACCGTGCATACAGTATATGTAGATCCATGTGTGATACCTGTGTGTACAATGAGGTATATGTAGATACATATATGACTGATTTTCGTGTGTACAGTACAGTATATGTAGATACAGGTGTGATTGATAACTCTGTGCCTGTAGGGCGTGTGCAAATCTGTCTAACAGTCTGTAGAGGCAGCTCACAGGATACTCACTTTGCACAGTCATACAAGTCACAGCAATAGCATGTATTGCTCCGCACGTTTAGGCTGCAAGATTCTGTCAGACTCTGGCAAGGCACCTGCTCCAAATAGGAAAGTAGTGAACAGTAAAACAACTTAAAGACAATTACAGAAAGCCTGCTGCAGAATTAAAGCTGCATTTAAGAGTTTGCCAAATTTTGGATGCTCTTTAAATGCTACAGAAATAGAATAAATCTTAAGTCAGATGGGCATTGAAGATCCAATTTGAAAGGACTTTCTACCGGTGTCCTGGCCAACAATCCCCCAAATAAAATTGATTATTCACTTCATGGCTGTTTGCAGGATATTACTGTGTGCAAATTTGCTGCCGCGTTCCCCCACGAACAAAAAACACACACAAACACTGCACTTTATAGTATATACTGTGTAGCACTTTGAGGCGTCCCCCTGACTTGAAAGGCGCTGTACAACAACAACAACGTGCATTTATATAACAACATCATGTGGCTCACTGTACCATATATAAGGGTTATCATTATGGATCTGTCGCGGTTACAGATCTATTGGCACAGTTGGGTAAAGCCATCTCCTAGTGTAAGACTGAGCCTTGATCATTGGTCTGTGCTAAATCTCAGCTGGGGAATCAGCATCAATCAGTTACAATTGATGAGACTCAGTGCTTTCGGACTGGGGAGAGACTAATCAGCTCCTGAACATTATCCAGTGATGCCCTCAACCCCCCTCTCCCCTTCTGCTGGAATGTATTTGTGCATAGTTAGGATCACGCTCCTGCTGGGATATGGCTCAACAGATGTTGGCAGGCAATTCAATCAGATCAGAGGCCGGCCTCATCCTCACTTGACACACATGCACGCTCATTTCCTATTCGAGACCTTAGGTTATTCATCAACCTGTCACTTCCTGAGCTTGAATGTCTTGAAGAAATTAAAACCACAAAAGATAGCAACAGCACAGTCAGGATGGGCCCAAATATCCTTCTTCTGTGCTGCAAACACGAAGTACAACTTGCTAAACATTTTCACATGTTTGCACCATAGAGCTCTCTTTGTTAACACTCAGCACCCTTGTTATGGCAGAATTGTAGGTCCACAGCATACTTGTGTCCGCCAACATGTTCACAATCTTAGGATCTTGTGAAGTTGTGGGGTGAGGGAGGCAATGGGGTGGTTTCTTTTCGACTGCGCCTTTGGTCATCTTCCTCCCCCTCCCCCTGGCTCAGCCCCGGGATCCATTACTGTGAAGTGCTCTGAGATGCCGTGCGGTGCGGAGGGCGCTATATAATTCCAAGTTGTTGTTGTGGTGGTGGGGGGAGGTCTAATGTGTGCTTTACATTTAGAAGCAGCTTTAACCCTTAAGTGCTGCAATACACTTCCCTGCGTGATGGGAGCTGTACAAATACAAGTGGTTAGAAAATCCGAGGACAGATTCCACAGTCATTTTCCAGCTTTCCTGTACCATTCAGCAGGATATTACCCTTCAGCATTCTGTTAGCAGTAAGGGTCATCACCGCAGTTTTAAGACATTGTCTGGTGAGCAGCTCTGCAGCATTATCCCGAGAGGCCAGTTTACGTGACGCCAGGGTATTGGAGGCAATGGACTGTGTGGGGGTGAAAAACTACTTGGGAGAAGGCCAGAGCAAAAGGGGGAAAGAGGATAATTTATGACTGGAACACATTACCAGGAAGAGGGGTTTGAGGTCAGGACACTGGAATCATTTAAAAAGCAGCTTCATGATGTGATGGGGGATAGTAGGGTGGATGTTCTGGAGGGATCAGATCAGGACTGAAGGACATTCTTCATCCAAACCGATCATGTAATCTTGTGAACCTACGCTGAGAAACGGAAACTCCTAGAGACAGAACGAAGCCAAGAGAGAGATGCGCTAAGAAAGAGACAGATGCACAGAGAGAACGAGAAACAGATGCAGGAAGAAATGCAAAGAGAGAAATGCAGATTTACACATGTGAAGAGCAAACGAACACACAGATGTTCTATACATACTGAGAAAATCTGGGAGTGAACAATAAATCATTATAATTTCAAAAGGCAAGAGGAATGTTGGGGTCTTAACTGAGGATCAAAGTCTTTAAACAGGAAAATGATTAACAGTCAGATAAAACCATTCAGTCGTGACTACAATTTGTATATAACTTAGATTTGCCCACATCAAAACTGTGTATAAGCATTCTAGACTATAATTTCCATTGGACTCTTTTATGTCAATGCTGTTTAGATACAATTGTAGATCTCTAGAATTAATATTTGGACAGCAATGTCCCACAAAGAGCCAGGAGCTGATTGATCAATTTTATCTGAAGATCGCTGGCCAAGACACTGAGATAAACTCCCTTCTCTTTTTGAAGACTGTGGTCGAATCTTTAATGACCACCTCAACAGGCAGATGGGATCTTAGTTTAACACCTCATCTGAAGGACAGCAATTCCGACCATGCAGCTCTCTCTCCCCCAGCACTGCACTGGAGTGTCTGCCTAGACTGTGAACTCAAGAGCCCCCTTTATTATTCACTTAGATAGTGTCTTTTGTATACACTGATTATAACCTATAAAGATCATCAAAGGGTATGATAGAGTAGATAGTGGGAGATTGTTTCCCCTGATTGGAGAAACTAAAAACAGGGGTCACAACCTTAAAATCAGAGGCCAGCCCTTTCGCACTGAGTTGAGGAAGAACTTCTTCACTCAAAGGGTGGTGGATGTATGGAACTCACTACCCCAAAGGGCTGTTGACGCTCAGTCCTTGAACATATTCAAGACTGAGATAGATAGATTTCTTATTGCAAAAGGGATTAAGGGATATGGAGATAAGGTTAGGTTATTAGCTGGAGTTAGATTAGAAGATCAGCCATGATTGAATGGCGGGGCAGGCTCGAAGGGCCGAATGGCCTACTCCTGCTCCTACATGTTATGTTATGTTATGTTATATTAAAACCCTTGCCAGTTATACCTAGGACAAGAAAGAAATGAGGATAATAATAATAATTATGCTTATCTTGGACTTCACATGGTAAAGGAGAATTTACAAGGATTTTTACAAGGATTTACAGAGTAGACACAGTTATCAAGAAAGATTGGACAGTTTTGAGAGAGCGTTTATCTCTGGAGTTCAGACAATTGAGAGAAGATCTGATAGAGATGTTTAAGATTATGAAAATTTGATAAGGTGGCTGTTAATAGTTTTTCCCATTTCTTGGTGAGTCCAAAACAAGAGGGTATAAATATAAGCTAGCCAGTAGTAGATCCAATGGGGAATTCAGTGGAAGCATCTTCAAACAGAGAGTGGTGAGAATGTGGACCTCTCTGCCGGAAGCTATGGTTAAACCAGGTGGCATTGATGTATTTGAGAGAAAACTTGATGCATATGTATGGTAGAAGGGAATGGAGGAGTATAGAAGAGGGGAATAGGAGGGGTGAAGGCTTATAATAATACTAATAATCCTTGCATGTGATATAGTGCTTTATCATGTAGAAGGACACTGGAGTCCTGTGGCTCAGTGGTTAGAGCACTCGCTTTGCAAGCGAGAGACCTGAGTTCAATTCCAGGCAGAGGGCGAAACCTTGGGCAAGTTTCCTTACTCCACACAGAGCCTAATAATAATCCCTCCAAAAACCAAAAACAATAATAAATTGGTCATTTTCAATCTACGACTGTTTGTGGGACATTGCTGTGCGCAATTGGCTGCCGCGTTTGCCCACAATTATACAGTCAATTCACTTTACAGTGTGTTCTGTGAAGCGCTTTGGGACGTCCTCCTGACGTGAAAAGCGCTATATCAAATGCAAGGATTATTATTATTATCTCAAAGCGCTTCACAAGATTTACTGTGACATGAAGTCACTGTGTGTTTGTAGGCAAATGTGACGCACAATTGTGCACAACAATGTCTCACAAACAGCTGTGAAACGAGTGACCAATTTTAGTTGGCCTAATGGCCTGTTTCTGTGAAGTATCACTCAATGTAACTACGTAACATTTGCTGTTGTTGTTGTTGTTGTATTGATGTCCAGTATTGATAAATCAAGCTGTAACAGGGCATAAAGAGAACTGTCCTGTTTCTCTGCTTGAGAAACCCTTTGAGGCTTTATGGGACATGAAAAGTGCTATGTAAGTGTAATTTCCTCTTTTCGACTAGCGCTTTATTGCTGTGCTTTTGCAATTATAAATTCTCTTGACTTCAAACTGAAAACCACTGAATCTGTTTTCTCTGAGTTTTAGAAAGAGATGCATCAAAAGTACTGGAGCAGAAATTCTATCTGAACTCCTAAAGGGTTTGTGTCTGGTGCTCAATTAATTGTACATTCATCCCAAATAATATGGAACACAGATGGGCTTTTCTCTTCCAAATTATTAATTTAGCAGGAATTCACATCCAAGCCTCTATAATGTTAATATTCAGAATGTGGCCTCTTCTACAAATATGTAAACTAATAATATTATTTTAACCTCATCGTTTTGATACACAGTTTTTTCAAAAAAAATATTTGTTCCCCACTCCTGCCTCTTGCTCCCACTTTCCTAAAATCTGTATCTCAACCACATGGCTGTTCTTTGTGTCAGAGCTTAGCTCCGAGACTTTGAAATTCTCGGGCTCAATCCCTCTGCCTTGCCTCCTCCTTGTCCATCTTTGGATCACATCTAGAGAACTTCCTCTTTGACCGTGTCCATGGTCACAGCCCCTATCACTCTGGTTCTGCGTCAAACTCTGCCACTGATAAGCGCTCCTAGACCTTATCCTATGTGAAGGGCATTAATTGCAAGTTGTGAGACAGGTTGTTCGAGTGTCAAGAGTTGGTATTACAGCCTGATGTAAAAGTGTCCCATGTAATAGTGATTACTGAACAACCTTTGAGAGCAGGATCCCTGGCTGATTTCTCACTGCCTCGCCAACACAGAAACTCTCGGCTGAGATCAGCACCGACCAGGGGATCCAAATTTACACCACATTTTGACCGGTCAGACAATAACTTTACTTGACTTTGTTTGACTTTGTTTGTTTGCAAATAAGTTGTGTGGAATAGTAGATCCCAGAGAGATCACAGCAAAGTCTATGATTCACCCCGTGAGGAAGGGGTGAAAAACCATCAGTAAGTAGCTTGATTTCTGGGTTTGACAATGGAATCCCTGTGGTCACATTTTTCTCTGAAGGACCAATAGGACTTGATGGTTGAACACACTGTCCTTCCAACTTGGAACTGGGCCGAATTACAACCCAGATCTAAAGATGTTTGCCAGGGCATCTCTCCCTTCTGCCCCACCTTCTCCCAGAGTTTAGCACCAATGTAGGATAAGTGCAAGGGGTAGACTGGAACACGGTGAGGACACAAGGAAGAGGAAGAGGGTGTTGGGCGTGGGCGTTGGATCGTGCTTTCTGAATCAGCTTACTTCCTGTGCGCTTAGTCAGCCAGTTTGGAGAGGAAATGGTGGGTGATTCGAGACTGCACACAAGCCCACCTGTTCTTTTGCAACCGAGATGTCTGTTAACATCTGCTCCACTGTTTGACTGATTCTGCTCGAAAACAGTCAGCTTCTGTGGCATCACGGATTCCGTTTGCAAATAAACACTTATGTTACTCAGGAGGGATCCAGAACGAGTGAGGAATGTGGCAAAGGATGAGGAAACACTGCAAAGTTAATGGAGAAAGACAGGAAAGTTGTCTCTCTGGCTCCAACATATCGAGAAATTCATGGGTGTCAGCCTGGCTCAGTCAGTTGTAGGTTCAACTCCCATGTCACAGTCCAGGCTGACCCACCAATGCAGTGCTGGGGTCCGCCTCATCACATAAGAACATAAGAACATAAGAATTAGGAGCAGGAGTAGGCCATTCGGCCCCTCGAGCCTGCCCCGCCATTCGATAAGATCATGGCTGATCTTCTGACCTAACTCTAATTACCTGCCCTATCCCCATATACCCTAATCCATCTGTTTTTTAAAAATCTATCAGTCTCAGCCTTGACAATGTTCAAAGACTGAGCATCTACAGCCTTCTGGGGTAGTGAATTCCATAAATTGAGGTACTGTCCTTCAGATGAGACTTTAAAAGACTTGGGATGTTCTCATGACGTGAAAGGCCCTATACAAATGTGTTATTGTATAAACCAAACTTCTTTCTGCCTGTTCAGGAGATCCCATGACATGAAAAGAGAAGGGAGTTTCTCCCAAACCCCTGGCCATCAACCCCCCAGATAAAACTGATTATTAATTTCGAGCCTGCTTGTGGGACACAGCTGACATTGCTGTGCACTACTTTCCTGCCAATAAAACAAACAGTCACTACAATTTAGGTTAAATCCTTTGAAACACTTTGAGACGTCTTCCCGACTTGCTACCAAACCTTCTGTTTTTCGAACAGTGACCTGGGATCTTTAATGTCCATCTGAATGGGCAGCCAGGAACTCGGTTTAAAGTCTCATTCAAAGAACGGCACCTCTGACAATACAGTGATATCCCAGCACACACTGGAGCATCAGCCTGGCCTGTATGAATTCAACGTCCCGACAGGTGGCTTGAACTCACAACCTTCTGCCTTTTGGGCGAAAGTCACTGAGCCAGGCTAGCGAATATTTGTTTCACTTCCGATGACCGGTCTCATCAGAAATGTACATTTTCTGCTCATCATTCAGATATCTGCTACATCCCACCAGTGCTCACTATCTGTACCCAGTGGAACCAAAGCAACTAGGTTGATGCCACAATGCACTGCAAGAAGGAAAGTCTATTGAGCAGGAATCATTGGTGGGAGATGAAATGAGATATGGCAGTTTAATATTGACTTTAACCACTGATTAAGATTAGAACGAGCACCACAATAACACAAAAACAGTGTCGCAATCTCCTAAGGAAGGAGGCTCTTATTGCAATACAATTAGAGAAACCTGGGTGCTCTGTACACAGACTGAAACAGGGAAAAACTATATCCCACTCATCAATGACTCAGGAACTGGAAGATCAGCTCCAGATAATAACAAAAGGAGAGGCTAAAATAATTCATTTTTACACAGGCACTCTCACACACACACGCACATACACACACACAGGGTTATAAGGACAAGCAATACCTTGCTAAAAACAGCTCCCATTAACCCTGCAAGCCAATGCCCTAACGGACAGGGTGGTCCTAGCTGGACAAGCAGGGACATTCTGCAAGTGTGGGAAAAAAAAGCAACATAAATTGATCATTCACCTCACAGCTGTTTGTGGGATTTTACTATGTGCAACCTGGCTACCACATATGCCTAAAAAATGCAGTCTTGAGCCCTGACTGTAATGATCTGTCAACCGATTGAAGTCATTTTAGGCTCCAGATCAAATGTGAGTGTTACTATAAGTGCAAGTTTGACTCAGAGCTACGTCAGCTATGTGGTCCAGTTGTACTGACTTGCTTCCAAATACAGTCTGGAATGTTCAGGTAGAACTGGATATGAAAAAAGGCAAGTCTACAGGAGTCCTGTGGTGTATTGTTTAGAGCACTCACCTTCGCAGGCGAGAGGACCTGGTTTGATTCCCGGGCAGGGCGAAACGTTAGACAAGTTTCCTTACTCAACACGTCTTTGTTTACGTCGCAGTAAGTAGGAACCCAAATGTTAATTGATTGGTGGATCGAATTTTTAAAAAAATTTAAATTAATAATTTGGTTACTCAATCCACGACTCTTTGTGGGACACTGCTCTGTGCAATTGTTTGCCAACGTTTCACCCCCTAAATATACAGTTAATTCACTTTACAGTATTTTTGTGAAGCGCTTTGAGTCGTCTCGAAGACGTGATACAGGGCTATAGTAAATGTAAGGATTATTATTATTATTAAATCAAATGTAAGGATTGTTATTATTACAGCTGCATTCAACTTAAATATTTCAGTGGAGTTTCCCTGGCAGACATTCATTTCAGAAATATTTCACTGATGTAGAGATATTCTAGGTTCCACATGGACTGAAAATCAAAACTTCATCCACATCCCCAGGGTACAAGATGATTATTTCATGAGCCCCTAAAGTAAATACCAGTACATTGCAAATAAAGACCAAAGGGCAACCTTCTGGTCTTGTTTTCAGGTAGAATAATGGTTCCAGCTGGAATATATATTGCTCAAAGTTCCTGAATTAAAGCAGGGTAAATCCGAGGAATATCTGTTCAGAATATTGCACCCAGCTGCAGATGTAAAAAAGTAAAAATACATGGAGTGGGGGCAGCAAAGGTGCTGCTTCGCAGTTATATTCTGTGAAGTGCTTTGAGATGTCTCATTGACGCATATCTTAAAGGGAACCGACCCTTTAACTGAGTTTTACTCAGCCCCCTCCCCCCAAGAATATTTTCATCCACCACCCATTACGGGCATCTTCTGACCCAACTAAGTTTCGAGATGTGTTGGACACACGCACACACCCACACACAATATTCCAGTGCTTTTTAGGTCAGGTCCATTAGTTCAAAATAATCTCAATAACCGAGGCACCGTCAGCCTGGCTCAGTTGGCAGCACTCTTGCCTCTGAGTCAGAGGATTCCACTTTGAGCTCATGTGGTCTAAGATGACACTCCAGTTAAGCACTGGGGGAACACTATATTGTTAGAGGTGCCATCCTTCGAGATAGAGATAAAATCAAGGTCCCACCCGCCCCCATATATGCCTCCTTGATACGTCCTCCCAACGTGAAAGGCACTATACAAATGTCATTTTGTTGTTGTTGCTCAGGTGGATGTTAAAGATCGCATGGCACTATTTGAAAAGAGAAGAGAGTTCCTCACATTGTCCTGGCCAACAATTCCCCCAGATAAAATTGATCACTTACTTAACAGCTGTTTAAGGGACACTGCTGTGTGCAAATTGGTTGCCATGTTTGTCTCCTAAATATACAGCCAAATAAATATACATTCACAAGATATCCTGTAAAGCAATTTGAGTCATCCTCCCGACATGATAAGGTTTTTGGAATAAATGCAAGAATTTTGTTTCATTCTAATCATTTTCATTTAACGTTTGCTCATTTACACCAGATACACTCATGTTCACCAGTGACATTTACTCACACTGGCCAGATAGTTCTCGTAGATGTAATTCTGACCACTGCTGTAATGCTGGCATCTGCCTATGTGCAGTGGTCTCAGATCCTAGAAAGAGATAAAGAAAGAGGTTAGAATTGTCTCAGCTTCACAGCTTGGTTTAACAGACCGTCCAGAAAAACTTGCTGAATCAAATTTTATTTAAAGACTGTTTAAAAAATGAAAAATAAAATCCCACTGAATTCAAACCCGTTGAGTAAAGCTTCTTCCCGTGTGGAAATGGTGAGTGACGACAATGACAACTTATATTTATACAGCGCCCTTCATACAGGTTAATGTTTTGGAGGCTTAACAATGTCAGGGTCGGCCCCTGAGCAGAAAGTAAAATTTCTACTAAAAAACAAAGGGGTTCTCCTGGTGTCCTGGCTGACAGCCCTCTGTCCGTCCTCCAAATTCACAAAGATTGTACTAGATCAGTTCACCTGACTGACGTATGTCTGGGTGTTGCTGGTGCCTCACACAGCAGGCCAGACACTTCAAAAGTAACTCACTGTGTGAAGGCGCAATGTGATAAGACGCGCTTAATGTGTTGAATTCTTGTTGGAGGGAATGTGTCTGGGTAGTATTTTCGCCCACAAGATATACAGTCAAAATACATCCACTTTAAAATATATTCTGTGAAGCGCTTCAAGATGTCTCAACGATGTGAGAGGGTGCTATATCAAATGCAAGGATTATTATTATTAGTAGTAAACTAGTAGTGTAGTAGTAGTAAACTAATTTATTACTAATAGTAGTAAATGTCTCAACCAGAAGAAAAATTAGCAAACTCACAATGGTTATCGCTGTGAAAACTCCATCCACAATCACACACAGGAACGAGGCAGTGACTCCAAAGCTCAGGAAGATTATCGCTGCTATTAGCTGCGGGAAACAAACACACCCAGGTCAGCAATAGTGACACTTTATTTGAATCTCATGAGGTGTTTGCCACACAAAGTGTTCCCTTTTGTATACACGCCCACCACCCTGATCCTCTCCGGGTTCCACTGTTTCCCCATCTTTGAACGGATCAACTTCAAGATCCTCACCTTTGCATATAAATCCCAGCACCTCTCTGACCTGCTCATGCCCCATTACTCTGCCCGGCCCCTTTGCTCAGCTAATACAAGCTCACCGTGAGTCCCCTGACCCTTCGGTGTCTGTGCTTTCAGAAGCACATAGCCTTCAAAACTTCCTGCTTCATACCTCTGCCTTGCCCCCCTCTTTATCTATCTACAAATACCACCTGGAATCCTACCTCTTTGCCAACTTATGATCACCTCCCCCACCCCCACCCTTCTCCCATGCTCTGCACCCACCCCACCACTGCAGTGCTGCGAGATGTTATCCTACGTGAAGGAAGCAAAATAAATGCAAGTGGTTGTTCTAGTTTCGTAATTGCACTTATCAAGTGCCTTTCACACAGGAAAATGTTCATAGGAACATAGGAATTATGAGCAGGAATAGGCCATTCAGCCCCTCAAGCCTGCCCTGCCATTCAATAAGATCATAGCTGATCTTCTAACCTAACTCCATCTGCCTGCCTTATCCCCATATCCCTTAAACCCTCTATCCTTTAGAAATCTATCAATCTCAGTCTTGAATATGTTCAAGGACTGAGCATCCACAGCCTTCTGGGGTAGTGAATTCCATAAATTGACTACCCTGTGAGTGAAGAAGTGTTTCCTCAACTCTGTTCAAAAAGGCTGACCCTTAATCTTAAGACTGTGACCCCTAGTTATAGACTCTCCTACCAGGGGAAACAGTCTCACACTGTCTACTCTGTAAAGCCCCATAAGAATTTTATATGTTTCTATCACTCCTAATTCTTCTATATTCTAGAGAATATAGGCCTAGTTTACTCAACCTGAATGCTGTACACTGTCCAGCGCCTTGAGACGTCCTCCCAACGTGAAAGGCGCTATACAAATGTAATCTTGTTGTTGTAGGTCAACCCCCTCATCCCAGGAACTAACCTAGTGAATCTACGCTGCACCCCCTCTAAGGCGAGTATGTCCTTTCTTAAATAAGGAGACCAAAACTGCACACAATACTTTAGGTGAGGTCTCACCAAGGCCCTATTGCAGCAAGACTTCCCTATTCTTGTATTCTAACCCTTTTGCAATAAACACCAACATGCCATTAGCCTTCCTAGTTGCTTGCTGTACCTGCATACTAACATTTTGTGATGGTGTAGAAGGACACCCAAATCCCTCTGAACACTAACACTATCTAGTTTCTCCTCCTCTAGAAAATAATCTGCTTTTCTGTTTTCACTACCCAAGTGAATAACTTCAATCTTCCCCACATTATATTCCATCTGCCACCTTCTTACCCATTCACCTAGCCTATCTATATCCCTTTGCAATTTTTTNGTGTCATCCTCAGAGCTTACTCTCCCATCTAGCTTACTATCATCTGGGAATTTAGATATTTTAAGTTCTACTTGTCTAGGTCATTGATATAGATTGTAAATAGTTGAGGCCCAAGCACTGATCCTTGTGGACTCCACTAATCACATCCCGCCAATCTGAGAAGGACCCGTTTATCCTTGCTCTCTGTTTTCTTCTCGTTAGTCACTCTTCGATCAATGCTAATATATTGCCTTTAATTTCATGGGCCCTAATCTTGTGTAGGAGCCTTTTATGTGACACCTTGTCGAATACCTCCTGAAAATCTAAATACACTCCATCTACTGGTTCCCCCCCTATCTATCCTGCTAGTTACATCCTCAAAAAACTCTAAACGATTTTAAGCATGATTTCTCTTTTGTAAAGCCATGGTGACTCTCTCTAATCATATTATGGTCTTCTAATTATCCCACTATAACATCCCTAATTAAGGATTCTAGAATTTTCCCTACCACTGATGTCAGACTGACTGGTCTATAGTTCCCCATCTTTTCTCTTCTACCCTTCTTAAATAGTGGTGTTACGTTTGCGATCTTCCAATCAATGGGAAGCATTTCCCAGGGAACGGTCTGGATCACAAAAAACAAGGAAAGTCAGACAGGAATCCAACCTTGTAGCCATATGGCCTGGTGTTGTACCAAGGTGGTCACAGCGGTTGGGGTGAGGTGGGGGGTGGGGTGTGGCCAGAAGGGAGCTTGCATGTATTTTTTGTTCTGTTTTGCAGTTCAAAGGAACATCGTTTCCTCAAGTCTCTTAAGTTGCATCTTTTATGGTGACAAGTGTGCACCTGACAGTGCATCAGCAGAAGCAATTAAAATTCTAAGATCCTTTTATTGCAAATCAAACAAAGACCCCTTGTGTGCGCAGTGGGATATTTTATTGCTGGCATTCACACTGAGAAGAAAGGGAAGTTCCTGCTTATTATCTGCTACTGATTTGGTTTCCTCATTCCCAAGCTGCAACTGAAAATGAAAATTTGTGCAAAGGAATGTTTATAGTCCAGTTGTGTCAAGGACGTAAAAACAGCACTCAAGGGATCATTTGTGAATGAGAAGCTGTGAGCTGGAGAAAACAAGCACTTTGAGGGTTTTACGAAGCGCTTTCAACCTGAACATCTATAGCTTTTCTAAAGTCCTGTGAAGACCTGTATCTTAGTGATTAGAGCACTCGGCTCGCAAGCAAGAGGACCCGGGTTGGGTTCCCAGTCTGGGCGAAACTAAGTTTTGATACTCCACACACCTGTTTATCTAGCAGTAAGTAGAAACCTGGTTGTTAGTCGATTGGTGAAGGCACTATATCAAATGTAAGTATTATTATTATTATTAAAAGACCTAAAGCAGATTATAACCAGGCAGGTTTCCTACCAAGGACCTTCAGTTTGATGGTATAATTCATTGTGCTGGTAGAATTCTTTTTTCTTAAAGTTTATCTATTTCTTTTCCATGTAAACCTCTGGTCTTTTCAAGGAGTGACAGTGTGCCAGGTCAGAATCCAGGACCCAGTTTTTATTATAGTAATAATAATCCTTGCAATTCGACTCAGTGCCTTATCATGTCATTGAGACCTCTCAAAGCACTTCACAGGTTTTTGATGTGAAGAGCAGTGACTGTTTTCTAGGCGAACGCAGCAGCCAATTTGCACACAGCAACATCTCACAAACAGCCACGACCAATTTTATGTCGGGGATTGCTGGCCTAAACACCGGAGAATCTTACTTGTCTATTTTGAATATTGCCATGGGAATCTTTATCGCTCGCCTGGTCAGGCACAACAGGACTTCGGTTTTAACATCTCATCTGAAGGGTTGCATCTCCAACAATGCATTGGAGTGTCAGCCTAGACTATGTGAGTTCAAAGTCCTGACGTGGAGCTTAACTGGAGATTAAATGGAGTATAATTGTTCCGAGATTTGACTCTGATAAGAAATCCCAAACTGGAGGAGTCTCAATTTCACATCGTCCTCGGACTAAGGGGTGACTGTCTTTACTAAAAATGAATCTCAGAACAAAGGTGCCATAATAGAATATCCCATTAGAGGGCGAGAGAGAGTCCAAATACACAATAGAAGCAAAGTAAGAAATGGTGAGATTTCAACCATAGAGTATTTCTGATACAAGAAAAAACACGATTTGGCAAACCTTACTCAGTGTATGGAAGAGTAGAATCTTAGGCTCTGTACAATAAGCCTACTGTACCATAACACACAGGCAGCTATTAATGTGGAGAACATATCCACAGTTAAATGGAGTTGGATAAACATTTGAAATATTACAATATAAGAGGATCGGGGAATTGGCGTTAGAGTACTTGGTGTAGAGTAGTATTAAATGAACTAGCACCATCTTAGGTTTGATGGGCTGAAAGGTCTATTGTTAAACCAAGGTCATGTTCAGGTGGACCTTAAAGATCCCATTGAACAATTCGAAAAGAGCAAGGAGTATCTCCAGGTACCCCTGGCCAGCAATCTCTGAAATAAAATTGGTCATTCACTTCATGGCTGTTTGCTTGTCAGTGCTGTGCATAAATCAAATGCAAGGGTTATTATTAATTATTATTATAATAAATTAGCTTCTGTGTTTCCCTACAAAATACTAAACATTGCAGTAAAATTCTGTGAACGCTTTGAGATGTCCTCGGGACATTTTCAGAACTTCAAGATGCTACCGTGTGTGAAAGGCGCTATATAAATGCAAGTTGTTGTTGTTGAAAGGCAGTGTACCAAACGCAAAAAGTATTATTATTTATGTAATTCCTGTGCTTCTAAGAAATGGATTTCAATGGAATTTGTAGCAGGACAAGACAGAATCATAATAGGACGTTCTGATAGAGGGCAATAGAGAGCGAGTCCAACTGCACATTGCACAGCAAAGAGAATTTCCTGTGTAGGTGGCATGGAATCAATTATCAGTCAGTCTGCTTTGGATGTGTGTCAGATACTTGGCTGACCAAGAAAAAAAGGTTCCAAGTCTGAGATTCCCTTGAATTTTAGCAAGCAGTCTGACGAAGTGTGTCAGCCCAGCGCTGAGGGAGCACTCTCGTCTCTGAGACAGAAGGTTGTGGGTTCAAGCCTCATGTTGGGACTTGGAATCACATTGTCTAAGATGACATCCAATGGAATACTGGGGGTGTGTTGCATTGTCGGAGGTGCCGTCCTTCAGATGGGATGTTAAACCGAGGTCCCATCTGCCTGTTCAGGTGGACATTAACACACCCATGACACGATTCACCATTAACACTCTCATTGCTGTTAAGTGCTCTGTGACTGTGGGAAGGGAAGGGTTATTATAGGCTCAATCCAAAACGATCCCATGGAAGATCATGCCTCAAAAATCTGTTTTCCTGAATGCTTGCCCACAGTGATCACCTTGGATCTTGGATGTTTGGTTTACAACATGACGCCTTGCCCTTCCTCCCTAGGAGATCTCTCCTATTAGCTTTACACTGATCACAAGCTATTGATGATTGTCTCTA